CTCAAAATGTATTTCTCTCCATCTCAGAGAGAGGACAGAATGACCCTAGTATGACCCGCTATACTGAATTGGGTTTCATTGCTACTGGTTTCCATAGTACACCAACCATCCCTTCATAACACATGCATTGCTTGTAATTCTTGATTAATGGCTATGTCTGTAGTGAGAATGAACTGAAAGCAGCAACAGCAGGTGTAGGGAGACCAATTCAGAGACTAGTCCAGGTGTCAGTGATAGAGATGGAAAGAAGTAGACAGACAGTTCAGAGAGTTTTCAAAGGTAGAACACACAAGACCCAGCAATTGATTTATGGAAAGGTTAGAGGGTGAGCCAAGGAGCTGGCTACCAGGTTTCTCATTTGAGTAGATGGTAGCATTTGAGATAGAATACTGATGTTTTGGTGGTGGAGGGAGTGTGGGTGGCAGGAAGATGAATGTCCATGACAAGGATGAATTTATCGGGTGACTTCTATTTGAACCAAAACCTAAATTTTACTAACATCTCTTCAAATATTACAAATGAACTCTGTGCTAATTTTGTTATCAGCTGATGTCTCACAGAAAATCTACTTGATTAATATTAATCAAGTATAGTTTTGTTTACAATTTACATATCCTTTCATATTGTTAAGTTTCTCTTAAGAAAAATAAAAGTGGGAAATATGATGAAAATGGGAATAACTGTATAGTACCAAATGCTAGCTTATGTTTGATTTTATTACTGCAAATTGAATGTGAAGAAGAGACTAGAACTTAAGAGCACAGCTCCTAGGGGAAACCAGGTAAAGAGGAGACATGTGGGTCATTTCAAGGTTGAGAAATATGGCTAGACAACGCTTTTCAGAAAAAGCTAACTTTGAAGTTTCCTGACATTTGTATTAAACAGTTGCTAACAACTATCTGATATGCATTTCAAAACACAAAGTGAGCTCCATGGGGGTAAGGATCTATCACTCCAGTATCTCCTGACAACCAGAACTTACAAAGTACCTAAAACATGGTGATCGGCTTGTTGAACTGAAGCAGCTCATTCGATTTTCTCATCCTTGCCACATTTATTTTTAAAGCAGTGCGTGAAAAAAGCCTCCACCCACTTCTCGCAAGCTGAGAAAAGAGTAGCTCTGACATGGGAGTCTTGAGCCAAAACCCACGATTCTATCTGTATTAAGAACTAAAGAGGGAAGTTGGAAAAACAAACAAAACCCCCTTACTCTGATGACTGTAAATAGTCATCCTATCAGAGATAATTAAAGAAAAATCTGTGGAAAATAAAAGGCAAACTGATAAACTGACGGTGATTGGCTTGGGGCAAACCCTCCCGCACTGGTGCAAGGGTCCGTCTTGGCTTAATCCCAGGACGAGTGCATTTCCCCTGGATACGGTTACTAGCCTCGGGGTGGGGTAAAGCTTTCCCCACACCCTCGCCTCGTCCGGGGTCGCCTCCCTTCCCCAAGCCCCACATTTCCGCCTCCTTGTTGCCACTGGCGCCCCTGGCCCAGCCTCCCTCACTCCCCAAACCTCCGCTCCCGGTCCCCGCCTTTACTGCTCCTCGAGTCAGCCGTCGCGCGCTTCGCCTCACACCTCAAGCCAGACGCCGTCGCCTCCTCTCACTCGCACCGCCACTCGGAACCCCGCGGTCCTAGCTTCAGCCGCCACTTCCCCGCCCCCGCAGCCCATCCGCACCAATCAATGCCCGGCTCGCAGCCTGACCAATCAGTCTTCCCCCCCATAACCAATCCTCGCGGGGGCTGCCCCTGAGCGACGGCGCTGCTGCGTGCTGCTACCCAATTACCCGGATGGAATTCAAAGCCGGCCCACCAGGTCAGCCAATAGGCTCCAGGGAAAGCCGACATCGTTAATTGAGATTGCACCTGCTGAGTATTAAACAGCCAATTAGAGGCTCGCGGAGTACTCCCTGCCAATCTCTAGGCCAATTACCGAGGAGGCTTCCATCTCCTAAGCCTGTGGGGAAAAATCGCGCTCCCGAGGTGCGAGGGGGTGGCATCACTTAGCCGCATCACCGTTCGCACAAAATTAGTGCCTTTGTACAAAGCCAGTGCGACCCCACAACCCATTGACCATTGGGGCAGCCGCCTCCTGATGGGCGATGATCCGCCACTTGTTTCTTCTGCGATCTTTTGCCTCGATCGGTCCCCATACTGTGACAGGGACTCAGGAGACACAGAAAACATTTTTTTTTTTTTTGCGGGAAAACATTAAATAGGCTTCGTAGAGATGGAGAGAAAGCCAAGGGGAAGGAATTGCGCGGCAGAGAGTGAGGGGCTCACTCTACTTCTCTGTCGAGGAATGAACAGACGAGGAGCACCGACACTGCAGCAGGAGAGGGACCCGAGTTCGGAGCACCCCGTGGTAAGGGAGCTGTGGGTAGGGCGGTCATCAGGGGCCCCCCTTTCCTGGGGATTAAAGGGAGACGGGTCGGGGCAACAGGCGCGAAGGCACAAGCCACCGGGCCGTTTCTGTGGGGGCGAGAAAAGGGGAGGGTTTCTGCAGACGGCGGTTTGCTTTGGAAGAGTGCATTCCAGCCGCTGTCTGGGTCCTTGGACCGTTAGAGACGGTTGGACCCTGCTACGGACTCCGAGCCGCCGGGAGCCTCGCGAGCTGGCCCTTGGCCCCTCCCGGCCTCCAGGCCCCGCTACGCACTAGGGGCTGACCCTTGACAGGGGTTGAGCGCTCCTTGTAATGCGGGGATCTTTCGCACCAGCTTCTGTCACAATGCCTGGCGCATGATACGCACGCAGTAAATGTTTGTTGAGTGAATGCAAGATTATATCTCTGGTCAGCTAAGCAGATGCCAGTGGGCCTCAGTTTCTCGTTTTGTGTTAATTTGAAAAATATATATGTGTTTTGAGTAAGTAGTACATGCACATTCTACAAAGGAATAAAAGGTCTGTCTTCCCTAAGAAACAACCGGTTTTACCAGATTCTTGTGGATTTTTCACAGGATATTCTATAGTAAACATGTATACATTAAATATATTTATATATATTACCCAGTCGGTAACATGTTATACATTACTATTTTGCAGTTTCTTTTTATATGGTCTAGATATCTGTCCATAGCAGCACGTAGGTAACTGCCTAATAGTTAAGTTTCATAGTAAGCCTGAGGGATGTATTAAGATATATTCAATCAGTCCCTTTAACATTATACTGATACCCAAGTATATTTTGTTTGGCTCTTGTATATCAGTACAATAAATACTTAGGGCTGCAAACACTGAGAAGTGTTTGTATTGTTTCTTCAGTTGGATAGATACAATTTCACAAATTCTCTTTCTCCCACAAAGATTTTTCTCATTTTCATTCCACCAACAATGTTTGAAAAGGATTTTGGTTAGTATTGCCAAATTGCCTTCCATGCAAGTTTTACCAATCTTCTCTCCCATCAGCAAGCTTATACAGCCTGTTATCAAACCTTTTGATTTTTGACAGTCTGATAGTGTAAATGGCATCTCACTGCAATTTAAATTTTCATTTCTCTTATAAGGTTGAGCATCTTTTAATATGCTTAAGTGACAATTGCTTTCTATTTTTCTGTAAATTGTTCATACACTTTGTTCATATTTCTATTTGGTTGTCAGGACTTTTAATATTTGCCTTTTGTTCATATGTAAGTTGAAAATATTTTTCCCCTTTCCCAGTTTGTCCTATGTCTTTTTACTTTCATGGTGACTTTTTTGTTATGCAAGTATTTTTTATTTTTATGTAGCTGAATTTGTCAGCATTTTCTTTGATAACTTCTGGGTTTCATATCATATTTAGAAAAGCGTCCTATGACCTAAGATTATTAAGAAATTATCCTATGTTTTCTTTAAATATTTTTATAGTGTCTTTTTGCATATGTAAATATTTGATTCACCTGGAATTTATTTTGGTGTTAAGGTGTGAAATAGTGATCCAGTTTTGTCTTGTCCAACCCTTATTGAATAACCCATATTTCCTCCATTGTTTTTGAATGCTACCTTTCATAAGATCCAAATTGTCATGTATTTGGGTCTATTTCTGGGTTTTTCATGTTCCATTGATCTCTCTATTCATGTTCTAGTACCATACTGTTTTTTAAAATTGATGTACATTATGTGTTATTTTAACCACAATTTAAAAATTTGATGTACAATATATACACAGAAAAGTGCACAGATGAAAAGCATACATGTTGATGAATTTTAAAAAATGGAACACATTTGTGTAACCAACACCCAGATCAAAAAAGCAGAACATTATCCCTTCCCAGTCACTACTCTCCTCAAGGGTAAACTTGCTTCTGACTCCTAGTAGCAGAAACTAGTTTTGCTTGTTTTGTTTTTTATACAAAGAGAATCACACAGTAAGTACTCTTTTGTGTCTGGTTTCTTCTGTTCAACATTATTTTTGTGACATTCAGCTATATTATTGTGTATAGTTTTAGTCCATTCATTCTCATCACCGTGTAGTATTATATTTTGGGAATATACCACAATTTCCTTTCTGAGTATACTGTTAATGTTATTTTGTGGAATCACATATTTTTAGATTACATAAGGGAGAATTTTTATATTTATGATATAGAATCTTCCTATAAACATGTGTAAGTCATTAATGTCCCATCAGTAGCGTTTTAAAGTTTTTGTCATGTAAAATTTACATATATAGTTTCTAAGATTATTTCTAGGTATTTGAGTGCCTTGATTGCTATAGCTATTTTTACTTTTAAAAAGGTAAAGAGTAGTTCAGACCTAAGGAAGAGTGTCCATTGTTGCTATAAAAAGCACAGGCCCGGGCTTCCCTGGTGGCGCAGTGGTTGAGAGTCCGCCTGCCGATGTCAGGGGACAAGGGTTCATGCCCCGGTCCGGGAAGATCCCACATGACGTGGAGCAGCTGGGCCCGTGAGCCATGGCCGCTGAGCCTGCGCGTCCGGAGCCTGTGCTCCGCAACGGGAGAGGCCACAACAGTGAGAGGCCCGCGTACCGCAAAAATAAATAAATAAATAAAAAGCACAGGCCTACTTTATGGGCTCATCATCTTCCAGCTCCAATGGGAGCTGGTGAGCAAAGAAGAGGAAATGAAGTGGAAGTCCAAAAAGAGGGATTAAAATTAAAAATTAAACCACAGGATTAATTTCTTAATCAGAGCAGTGAAAAGCCAGGTGTAATCACTTTTCCTGGAAATTTTCTGAAGGAGGGTGGACTTTTAGTTGGTTGGGTAGGGAGACTGGGGAGTAGAAAGGATAACTTTAGGTGAGATGATCACTCTCAAGTCACTGTGTATTTGGGATTTGTCATCTCATTCCCCCTCTAAGAGCCCAAACCAGGATTCAAAGATTGAGTTGTGAGAGACTAGGATTGGGTGAATTGTGATTTCTTTATTCTCATCTCCCGCTCTGAAGAGTCCAGTTCTGTTTCCCTGAAGGGTGTTCTGAACAAGGTGCAGGTGGCAGTAGGTGAAACTAATTGACATAGAGTGTGGGTTGTCCGGAGAGTGCAGTGGGCAGGTGTTTCCACTCGGTAAGCCAAAGCAGGAAAGTAGACTTTAGCTAAAGGGCTGGGCAGGGAGGGGTTCTCAAACGCAGTAGCCTTGTTTAGAGCCTTGGCTGCTTACAGAGTTCCCTTCCTGGATAACGTGTAAACTATTCAAATGATATTCAGCTATCTGAGGTTTTGGAAAACAGCACACTCCCTTTGTCCATTGTAGGAATCACCCCTTCTTCCCCCGTCACTCAAGTCTCTTCACCAGAAACCAGCAACTGGGAATGTGGGCCTTAGTATCAGAAATTATACTGGTGCTACTCTTTCGTCTTTTGATCAGATTGATGAATTGTGGCAGGGTGTCCTAGGAGAGAGACATTCTCCTCAGCTTCTCTGGCCACCAACATCCAGCTCTAAGTCTCCTTCCTTAACTCCCCTTTACAAAGCAGTTTGGAGGAAGAGGACGCAGGAGTCCTCTGATCTCACGTGCTCGCCGGCCTGAATCATCACCACACTCACTGCTAAGAGCAAAAGTCCTACCCAGAGTCTCCTGCCTCTCTCTGAGAGACGGATGCTGGGGGAGACTGAGAAGAAAGATTAAAAACTAACAACCAATCCTCAGCTTCCTGAATCAGGTGCATTAGAGTTACTGAAGGAAGGTGAGGACCAACAACTGACCCCATTCCCCTTAAAAGAGTTGTTCAGAGTGGGTGGGGCTGGGGATGACCCCTGGATTCTACCTTTCTCACAGGTCAGTTCCTGCAGCTGAGAGGCCCTGGGGAAGGGGGTTATAAGAGCAGACAGTGACTGAGCAGTATGGCAGTGTGGTGGAAAGCATTTGGATTTTGAGTTAGCCCTGAGTCCAGAAGCAGCTCCCTTACTAACCAGCTCTGTGTACCCGAGCAAGTTAATCTATTTGACCTTTAGTTCCATCAGCCAAGATTCCCTGTCTTAATAGGGTTGATGTGAGGATTAAATAAGAAAACATACATGTAACCAACTAACACAGAATAAATGTTATTTTTCTTCTATCTCCACGACTGTCCCTCCAGGGGAGAGCTGCCATTGGATTGCCTCTGGTGTGGACCATAACATCCCTGCACATGTGCACACACCACCCGCCTGTGTCCCTGGTTGCCGTCACACACTTGTCCACACACATACACACACACACACACACACACACACACACACACACACCCTTGAGCTAAGGGCAGCCTTTCCGGGCACATGGGGTAAGGGGCTGGCTTTCTGATGATTGGACAAGCTGTGGAAGTGCTCATTGCAGTAACCTTGTTACGGTAACTAGCGTCCCTCTCTGAAGGTGTTCTGGAAAGGCCATGTCAGGAGAGCAAGGGGTGGTAGTAGGGGAACCCCACAGGCATTTCCTCTAGGTTGAATGTGCTTCTCGAGGGACACTTTGCCCACCTCTGCTGAGGAGGCCCTAGTCTACACCCAGAGTTACAGTGTCTGGAGCTCTGCTGTCCAATATTGTAGCCACTGGCCACATGTGGCTACTGAGTACTTGAAAGATGGCTAGTGTGACTGAGGAGTAGAATTTAAAATTTATTTAATTTCAATTAATTTAAATGTTAAAACCAATACTTGATTTAGTTATTGGAAAACTTTTAATATGGAGCAACTTGGATGTGTGAATTGACTTTCTCAACAGTGAATTTTATGAAACCTAACTACAGATCAGATATTTCTGGTGAGAATTTAGTTATCAAATTGGAATGTGTTGTAAGTGTAAAATATACACTAGATTTCAAAGACCTAATATGAAAAAATAATGTAAAATATTTCATTACTCATTTTTATATAGATAACATGTTGAAATGATCATAGTTTGGGTACACTGGGTTAAATAAAATAGAGTATTAAACTTAATTGTATCTGTTTCTTTTGCTTTTTTAATGTGATACTAGAAAACTTGAAATCACATAAGCAACTCACATTCTGTTTCTGTTGGGCTGCTCTGGCGGCTGTGGGACTCAGGCAGCAGCATCTCCCAATCCAGACACATGTCATCCATTCCCCACTGCCTCAGGGGGCTTCCCAGAGTAGATTTCTCTGAACAGCAATGCTGCTTCTGCCCTTTTCTGAATTGCAGTATGGGCAACTAGTATGAGAACCTCTAGCACCTGACCCCCACAAGTCCCAATCTCACAAGCTACTGGTGGAAGATTTTAGAAATATGGGAGAGGGCTGTGCCCCAAGGTTATTAGACAACCTTTGGGCTGTCTAATAAACTGGAGAGGGGAGGTTGCTGCAATGCTAAGGGAATTGTGTGTGCACGGTGCCAGGAGCAAGGTTGGAGGCTCCGGATGCTCAAGATTGTGTGATTCTCCAGCCTCACTCTCCAAACTGCCGGGTTCTCTCTCACATTCACCTCTGCCCACAGCCCCCTGCCCCCAGATTCCCACCTCTGCCCCACTGAAGAGCTTGCCTGCTGGTGAAGTCTGGCTGCCCCCATATGGCGCCAGCTTCTCTCACCTGTCAGGGACAGTTTGGGCTGGGAATCTCCTTATGAGTCTCCTCAGGGCAAGGACAAGGGCAGCAGGAATGGCTAGGAAGCTGATGACGCTTTGCATATTGTTGGGTGAGGGGTGGGTGGGGCTCTTGAGGGTGGAGGGGAACTAAGGACGCTGTGCAGATGCTGCTGCAGAGAGAGAGAGAGAGAGAGAGAGAGAGGCTCCTAGGGACCTCGTGACTCTCCACTTCTCGGCCCCTCCTCCCTGCTCCTTTCCTCTCCCTTCACTCCTCCCCTTCCGGTGATGCTGATGCTGCTGCCCTGTCCCTTGAGCTCTCAGCATCTCTACTTTTTCTAGCTCTGCTTTGGCCTTTCTTTGGAGTACGCTCAGAGGCAGTCAGCATCTCCTCCTCCCACTCTGCCTCTGCATCTGGGGTCTCCATAAGACAGCGACCTCTATCCAAAGACAGCTTCCCACCGGGGCTGCACTGAACACGGAACCAGGGGAAACTGCTGAAGGACGGTGGAAAGGCAGGTGCTTCCTGCTGCTTCTTCTTCCCTCCACTTTTCACTACAGCTTGCAGTGCCCCTCCCACCTTGTTCCTTCAAACCTAGTCCTGCTGTGTTCTGGGTCTCTCTCCTTTGACAGCTGCAGATTCTTGCTTTTGTTAGTCATTTTCTAGGAGTGCTCTTGCTTTCTCCATCAAGGGCACTAGGGATCTGCAATACAGGAATGTTAGGGAGATTCCAACCAGAGTGAGAAAGAAGGGAAGGAGCTGGGTGCCCTGGGTTGAAATTTTTGCAGAGGGATCCTTTGGAAGGCAGAGGATCTCTCCTCCAACTCCGGAGAGGGAGAGTACAGGGGAAAGGGTTGACACTGAAATGGGCTGGCTGTGCTGATCTCTCCAGGCATGGTGGGCAACCTTTTGCGTAAACCCCTGGTTTTCAGGCTCGTTAGATTCAGGCAAGGCCATTAGGATACAGGCTCAATGGGCAGGCAGAAAGCGTAGGAAGGGGGAGATCTGACAGAAATAAGGGGTGGAAAAGACTGAAGAAATCTCCAGAGATCACATTTAGTTGTGGCTGCTACTGTCATGGCCTTTTGGCAACAGGTTTAATGCTGTGACAGACAGAGGCAGGTGGCGGGGCTCATGCACACTCAGTGCCAGTGTGTAGTCTGTCCTCCTTCCCGTCCCACACCCCCTGTCACATCCTCTTCTCCTTAGCTTGAGGTCATTGGCCCTAGTTGTTTGCCCCTAGAGAGGGGACAGAGCAGAAAAGAGAGAGAGAGACCACCTGGTTGAGGAGCAGAGACTCCAAGAAGCAAGTGGCACTTCCCAGCCCCATCTCTGAAGTAATCTATGGCTGTGGTTGGCGATTGGTATTGGTTATTAAGGTATGTGTAGGTGGGTGTGAAGGAAGCCTGGAGCTTAGACTAGCAGACTGGAGGGTTATATTTCCTGCTTTGTATGTGGTGGGGGAAGGACTGGGCTGACTACAGGGTCTATATCTTCAGCTTCCTGGGACCCTCAGGGAAGAGATGACAATGCTATCCTCAAACTGCAAAAGCACAAGGAGGCCGGCTATCAGGAGGCGGCATTAGCTGCTGGCATGGTGCAGGCAGGAGGCGTGGGAGATCTATGCTGTTTGGGACTAGCTTCTGGTCCAAGCAGCCTTGGTTCTCTTCCCCTTTGGTATCTGAAGCTGGCTTGGATGGGTCCCCAGTGTGGAAGGAAAGGTCAGAAGAGCTTGGCAGTGACCCGGTTACCCCCAGAGTTCTTATCCCCAGAGGCTCGGGGTGCCACAAAGTCAAAGGTCATGTGATGTTTGACCCGGCCTTTGCCTTTGCTCCAGAGGGCAATGAGGCCAAAGCACAGGGTTACCGAGGTGAGGAAGGGGAGGAAGCCGACTGCCAGCACCATAGCTATGCCTCTGCTATCCAGGAAGAAAGGCCCTGGGATCCCTGGCATGGTGGTGTTGGGGTCAGAGAGAGTGCTATTTGGTGGTTCAACTTGGATTACTTCCAGCCAGGTCCTCAGGGAGTCATTCCCAGCTACATTGCTGACCACACAGACATAGGCCCCTCTATCCCGTAGCTGCACAGAGCGGATCTCCAGCGTCCCATCCTCCAGGACCCTTACTCTCCCGGCCCTTCCCAGCCAAGCCCCCTGAGGCCTCATCCAGGAGACGATGGGGGCTGGGTCTCCATCTCCAGAGCAGGAGAAAACGGCATGCCCGCCCTCCTCTGCAATGACCCAGCGTGGCCCGGACTTTCGGATCAGGGCTGGTTGGCAAGTGAAGTGCCCTGGAGGTAGGATGTCTGAAAACTCCCTCAGGCTCTTCCCCTGGACGTTCTGGGGGCCGGCACAGGCAGGGGGAGACGTGCCAAAGTCCAGGCGGCGGCGGAGCCGGAGCAGCCAGACGAGGCGGCAGTCACAGGTCAGGGGGTTACCAGACAGCCTCAGGGTGACCAGTTTGTCTGGAGAAGAGAAGGCTGTTTCCTCCAGTGTCTGAAGGGCATTATCCGCCACGTCTAGGAGGTGGAAGGCAGTCAAACCATGGAAGGCGTGGGCAGCGATGGAGGTGAGGCATGCCCCTGACAGTCGGAGCTCCTGGAGCCGCACCAGGGGGCTGAGCCTCCGGGCTGGGATGGCAGAGATGGGGTTCTGAGACAGATCCAGGACCCTGAGGAAGCTCAGGTGGTGCAGCGCTTGGAAGGGCACCGAGCTCAGATTGCAGCGGGTGATGGCCAGACTGCTGAGATTGAGCCCAGTCAGGCTCCCAGGCTCCAGAGCCTCCAGAGGCGGCCAGTGATGGATCTCCAGCTCCTTTAACTGCCCCAGCCCTTGCAGCGCCCCTCCCGGCAGCCTCCCAATATCTAATTCCCGGAGCCTCAGGACCCCGAGCGCTGGAAGGCGGGCCAGGGCCGGGCCAGGCACTGTGCTGAGGTTGCAGCGCTCCAGGGTGAGGGTGCTCAGCTTGGCCAGTCCAGCAAAGGCTCCCGGAGCCACAAACACCAGGTGGTTGTCCCCAACCTCCAGCTGCTGGAGGCTGCCTAGCTCCCCAAAAGCTCCATCGAGGAAGAGGACAATCTGGTTGAGGCGAATGTCCAGCAGCGTGAGGGAAGACAGGCCTGAGAAGACCCTGGGGCCCACGATTCGCAGACGGTTGCCCTGCAGCCTCAGGGTGAGCAGGCTCTGCAGACCATGGAAGGCCCCTGGCTCGAGGGTGGACAGCTGGTTGTAGCTGAGGTCCAGTTCCCGGAGCAGGCCCAGGCGGGAGAGCATTCCCCGCTGAAGCCCCCATAGGCGGTTCCCACTCAGGTCCAGGAGCTCGGTGTCCAGTGGGAGTCCCCCTGGTACAGCCTCCAGTCGCCGGTGGGCACAGAGCACTGCCCGGGGTTGGGAGGTGCAGTCACACACAGCAGGGCAGCCGCCGCTACTCCCCCCAGACAGGAGGAGCAGGAAAAAGATGGGGGGCCAGGCTTGCTTTGGAGTAGTGGCTGCAGCCATCCCCTCTTCCATCCTGGAATAGACGATGGCATGGCCCTTATTGGAAAGTGGCTTCAGATGATGGGGACCCTGGATTTCCCTGGGCCTCCTTAGAGGAGAGAGAGATATTGAGCTACCCATCTCAGCATGGCCAGCAGCTAGGGTGCAGATCTGGGGGGAATTCTGGTGCACACCTCCCTGGAGCCTTCTGGAGCTCCTCTAAGGGGACTCTGTACTTTCCTCCCCCTCCCAACCTGGGTAACAGGCCAAGTGCTTACTTGCTCATGGAACCCGAGTCAAGTGGGGAAAGTTTTAGGGGAGGGAGACAGGAAGCAGCAGGGAAGTAACTTTTGAGTTTCCCTCCATCTGTGAGATCCAGAAATACCTCAGGTCCCTTCTCCCTGATAGCTGCTCTCCCAATCTCTGCTATGTCCCCCTCTGCCCACCCTTCTCCCAGGTTATGTACCCACAGCTTTGTCTACGGCTTAAGGGGGATCATATCCCTGGATCCTGATTGGAGACAGGCATCGCCTTGACTAAGTCATCCAAGGCTGGGAAGCATGTGGGCCTCAGCTCTGCCCCCCAGGCTCCACTTATTGCCCCTCTGCCCTCCTGCAGCCTGGCCCAGGGCCTGAGGCCCCAGAATAACAAGATCCAATCTCCCCAGAACACCTTGTGGATGACAGCCAAGCTGCACATTAGATAAAGCACAGGATGCAGGGGGTACGTGAATCCCTCACAAGAACCCCAAGGGCAACGCCGCCTCCCCTATAGATGACATTAGGGTGTGAGGGACCCAAGAGATGCCCCGGTTTTGTTGCTTGGTCCTCAGACTTGGGCTTCTCTCATACCCCTCCTTCGTGGTGTTTTGATTCAAGCCTAGTGTGTGAGTCTGAGGGAGATCTCTTGTCCCCTTTGGCCTCTGCTGCCTGAGAAAAACACAAGAGACAGACTGAGAGCCAGGTAGGCATAGACAAGTGAGGAGAGACAGTGCCTGGCCAGACGCTATGGTGGGGACCAAGGGAGCCCTTGGCTGGCACAGCAGACCTCTGGGCACGTGTGCACAGCCTGTCAACTTAAAGTGGTTTCTGGGTGCCAGGGGCCTGGGCAAAATCAGGCGGATGACCACTGGAGCCTGACTGAGGTGATGGAGGAGAAGAGGTCCCATAGACTCACCCTGTTTAGTGACAACTGGGACCCCAAGGGAGGGGAGGTATTGGAATGGGCAAGGGATGCTACAGAGATAGGACCAACTGAGCCAACTGAGACAGGAGGCCTCGGTTTCTTTCTAGCTGCAGATCCCAATCACCTTTGACCTTTCAGGCCTCAGGCTTTCTGGGCCCTACAGGGTCAGCTTTCTACCCCACGGCCCATTTTCTCCCAGGTGGAACTTAGGAGAAGCAGTTTAAGAGATGGTGTGATTTCTTCCCCTCTATTTCCCATTCTATACCCTCTCCTAGAAGGATCGTCTGGTGGCTACCCTATAGCTAATTCAGAGGACTGTAGTAGTTCAGAAACTGAAGAAAGAGGCCCAAAGAGCAGAGGGACGTAGGACACCATCCTGAGGCTTGGGCATGAGAAAGAATGGCACGGCAGAGGCTGCTGAGCAGACTCCTGTGTTCCCAATCCCAACCTAACAGGTATGGATGGCATGCTAAGAGTTCTCCAGGCAGAGAAATGTCCCAGCCAGCCTCATTCCCCTGGTAAGTCTACCTGACAGCTAGCTCTTTATCACTACTGCTGCAGTTCCTGCTCATCCTTCCTTCCTGCATTCAGCAAAAGTGCAGTGAAGCATGTAGCCTAGCTTCCCTCCTTGCCACTCCTGTGAATGTCCTCCTAGTCTCCGAAGCCCGCTGGGCCAGGGGCTGGGGATCTGGCCCCTTCTCTTTAAAGGTCGCTAATGTAATCATAAACTTCCCTTGCCAATCTCCACGGCTACAGGACTGGCTTCCGGCCACTTTGCAGGAAGAGATAGGTGTCAGGATCACTCCTTTCTCTCCTTGTATGGGCTGGGGTCTGGTGCATCACCCTCAAGGAACAGGGAGCTTTCCTCTTCTTGTCTCTATGTGGCAGTCCAGAGACACATCTGATCCTGGATATCCTCTTTAAAGCAGACCTGAGTGAGGCATGGGGACCTACACCGGGAGGGGGTTCTCTCTTGGAGGTAAGATTTCTGGAATATCCACACGGATTGCAGGAAAACCCTTCCCAGAGGTAGAGAGAGCACCCCGGAAATGGAGGGAGGTCTGCTTGGAGTCCTTCCCTCCGGAGAACCTGGGCCATCTTAGTTTTCCCATCAAAGTCCTATGGGGCCAGGATCGATGGTTGGCTGGGCCTGGGGTGGGCACAGACCCTCTAGCCTTGACGGGTCTGGCCTTGTCTCTGAGAACATTATGGAGAAGGGCAGCTGCAGCTCTGGGACAGGAGGTAGGTGCACTTACCAGAGAAGCTGGAGGGTGGCATCAAGTTGGGCACTGCATCTGTGCGGGGCTGGGGGCCCGTCCCACTCGAGCTGCACCTCTGCCCTGCACCTCCCCTTGCGCCTCTCTCCCCGCTGCCCCCCTGCCTGCCGCTGCTGCTGTTGCTGCTGCAGCGGCTGCTGCCAAGACCGAGGTAGAGAGAAGAGCCAGAAAGCATTTCTCCTTTTTTTTTTTTTTTTCCTCTCTCTCTTTTTAAACCAGGCAAGAATGAGTCTGCAGCAACCCTGTTGGTGCAAAATAAATAAATAAAGCAACCAGGGAGGGCTGCAGCAGGCGCCACCTCAGGATGGCAGAGGAGGGGAGGGAGCGCAGAGGGAGGCTCCGGAGCCCCAAGGGGTGGAGGGCTCGGTGGTGGAAGCTGCTGGGCAGCTCCGCAGGGTCTCTCGGGCATCCTGATTCCCCCCTGCGGAGCTCTGGGGTCAGGCACTTTCCGTAGGGTTGTCTTTCAGTCTCCCAGATGCGGGGCAGTTCTGTGCAGCCTCTCATTCTAAATGTTCCCTGTGGGTATCATTTGTGGGGCAAGTTCTCAGCCCAGAACACCCACTGCGGAGCTTAGTCTGAGATGGCTTCGGTGGGGGCTCCTGAGGACCAGCCCCCACGCCTCCGTGGGGGACCTCTCAGGGTGGGTGCAGAATCCTCACAGTGCGGACGGCTGGCAGGGCTGGGAACCTGGGTCCTCACACAGGAATGAGATTGCAGAGCAGCAACACCTCTTGCCTTTGAAGTCGTTTTATAAAGAATAGCACAGGTTAGGGTTTATGTTCACCCTCCCCTGAGAGGAAAAAAAAAAAAAACCCTCCTGACCACCTGCTGTTTATCTCTCAGAGGAGGGCTCACAGCTATTTATAAAGGCAAGAGAAGTTCTCGGGCAAGATCACGGCTGGAGAAACAGGTCTCCTTCACCCTGCCAGACTTGGTTGTACCCAGGCACAGAGTGGTGGAATCGCATCTGCTGCGTTTCGCCATAACGAGAGCAGGGCTGGAGGATGGGGCCCAGACAGTCCTCCGAGGGTCTGTCCTTGGCCTTCTGACTGTGTCCAGCCATCTCTTCTTTTAGGGTTTCCTTTGACAGAAGACAGCTGGGGCTGGGATAGAGTTTGGGCCACCCCACGTCTAAGATTGGTGAACTGGGGCACCAGGTGAAAATGTTCTGGGGTCCCTCAGGATTGGGATCTTCCCTGAGGCCACGAAGTTCCTCTGATCTGTGACCTCAAGGAAGACAGAGATTGTGTCAGATCAAATGCATCTATAGAGCTGCATGACTACAGGTTAAGTGTGTGACTATGTGTTTCACATGTATGTGGACATGTGTCTCTGATCACATTTGTGTAACCACTGAAGTCTATTTTTAAAGTGCACATAAGAAGTTTGAGTTCTAACTCTGTCTGTCTGTCCATCTGTGACGCTCTTGGCCTTCATCATACCCTATCCTTATACCCAAATCCCATAAAAATATTATCCCCAGCCCCTCCCTTATCACCATCCCATCCTTACCCTCCACATATCTAGTCTCTTTTAGACCCCAGGGTGCCCAACGGCTTCCTTGCTGAGCTGGGAGGAAGGGGGAAGGCAGACAATCTAACGATCCAGGTTCATGTTATGTACAGGTCCTCCTGGGCTCCAGATGCCAGTCTCTGAGCTTGATGCGTCTCCCCAGCCAAAGCCCCCAGGGAAATGCAATGAGGTATTTCAAAGGCCTATTCTTAGCTTCTGAGCCCAGAGTTGAGTTCTGTTTGTCCAGGGTGTCCTGGATCCCCCTGTTGTCCTGAGGACACCTAGGTCCTCCTAGAGGTCCTTGTATCCCACCCCAGGTCTCGCAGAAGCTGAGAGAAGCCAGGACAAAGCTGAGGCTGGAGATGGTGTTCCTCCATCCCCCCCGCCTCAGCTCTTGGCCTGCCGCCAGGCAGGCTGGTGGGCAGAAAGCCAGTCTCCGCATTTGCTCACCCCCCCCCGAAAACAGGCAGAGACCACCCTCCAGGGCGCACAAGAAAGGAAAAGGCCAAGAGGAAGGTGAGCCACGAGGCTCTAGGGAAGGGAACGGAGTCCCTCCTCCAGGTCACTTGGACAACCCCTCAGGTGACTCGATTTCAGTGCTGAAGAGTTCCTTGTAGAGTGGAGGGAAAGCAGCTTGGACCACGATGGGGTGGAGATGCTGGAAGGTTTGCAGCTTTTCCACATGCTGGCTACACAGGCTCCGAAGCTTCCCCTTGGGTGGCAGCTGGACATGGGTTCATGGGGAAGGAAGGTCAGTACTACAGCTCTGTCCCCAGAGCAGAGAAGTACCCCCATCCTTCCTGGGCTTGGATAACCCTCCTTGCTTTCTCCCTGCACACTTGGCACTTGTGGAACAGCCAGATCCCATTGGTAGGGGTAGGTCTGTGTTCAGGCAACTGGAGGCTAGCGAGAGCTGCTGTGGGACAGGTACATGTTTTCTGGCTGAAACCCCCAAATGGTGTTCCTGCTACTCCTAAGATGAGCCCTGTTAAAGACTCTCTAACTCACACTTTATGCTTTTATAATAGTGAAATTCTGTCACTCTCTGTTATGTAATGTTATGTGCCTCTTTGCCTTTGTTGATACTGTTCCCCTCCCCTGGGATGCCTTTCCAATTCTTCTGTGCTTGGCTAATTCTTACTCACCTTCACTGTTACCTCCTCTAGGACTATTTCCCTGGGTTAAGGGCCCTTCCTTTGGGCTTCCCTCTGTGCAGCACTGAAATCCCATTTTAGGAAAATGATCCAATTTGTCCGTCTCCCTACCCTAGATTTAAACTCCTTAGGTAGGGTCTCTCTCTCTCCCTTCCCTCCCTCCCTCTCTCTGTATCCTCTGTACCTATCAAACTGCTTGCACATGGCAAATGCTCAGTAACTGTTTGTTTGGACTAAGCAATTTCCAAACAGGTACCCAACACTGCAAACAGTAAACCAACACTGCCAGCACTCAGCCGGTGGAGGGGAATGATAAAGGCCCAGAGAGCCATGAGGAGATAGAGGCAGGGAGACCTCCCTGGAGAAAGGCTGAGAAAACCATTTATCGTCTGCAGTTTCCTGTATAAGCAAGTGAGCCTTAAAAACACCTCTCACCAGCCACCCCCTTTCCCCAGCTTAGCTGCCTAGGAAAGGGCCAGTCAGGGAAGAGCAGGCAGCATGGGATCCCTTGAAATCTCTTGAATTCATCCTCTTTTCATTCCTCCTGCTTTATTTTGCGTTTGTCTGGGCTATTGCAATAGCTTCATTCATTCATTCTTTCATTCATTCTCAAATATTTGTTGAGACCCTTTTGGCTAGGAACTGTGATGGGCTGTGGTGATACATCAGTGAAGAAAATAAAATCTCTACCTTTACTAAGTGTATATTCTAGTGAGGGAGCCGGAAAATAAACATATGTTAGAAAACGTCTTTAAAAAACAATAAAGCAGGGCTTCCCTGGTGGCGCAGTGGTTGAGGGTCCGCCTGCCGATGCAGGGGACACGGGTTCGTGCCCCGGTCCGGGAAGATCCCACATGCCGCGGAGCGGCTGGGCCCGTGAGCCATGGCCGCTGAGCCTGCGCGTCCGGAGCCTGTGCTCCGCAACGGGAGAGGCCACAACAGTGAGAGGCTTGCATACCGCAAAAAACAAAAAACAAAAAAAAACAAAAAAAAAAACCCCAAAACAAAAGAAAAACAATAAAGCAGAGTGATGGGTAGAGGGCTTTTTGTATGGAGTGGTCTGGGAAAACCTCTCCAGAATGAAGGGCTGGAGCAGGCCATTTGGAAAACTAGGGGAAGAACCTTCCAGGCAGCTGGAACAGCAAAGTCCCGAGAAGCAACCGGGCTTGATGTGTTCAAGGAATAGCAAGGAGGCCAGTGTTGCTGGAATGGGTGACTGAGAGGGCAGTGGAAGGAGATGAGGTGAGAAAAGAAGTCGGGGGGCCAGACACATCATGAGGCCAGTCGGCCACGACACAGACTCTAGATTTGATTTTCAGCATGATGGGCAGCTCTGGGAGCGCTGAGAACAGTACTGTGTGGCTGCCGTGGGACAGACAGGGATGGAGCAGGGGTCCAGTTAAGGAGGCCTCTTTAATGGCCCAAGTGAGAACTGACAGCTAGGGGGTAACAGTGGGAGGTGATGTATTCTGAAGGTGGATCCAACAGAGATTTGCTTTCCAACTGCTCTCTCAGGTTCTCCTCCCCCTAATCTATTCTACCAGACTTGAAGTTTATTTAGGTCAGAGCCTGTCGTTTAAGTCACTTCTGTATTCTCGGCACCTAGCACTCTGCCTGGCACATAGCAAGTGCCCATTGCCTGAACCGTTACATAAATGGTTCCTTTACACTGGTTCCAAATTAAATTGCCTAAATAATAGCTCTGATGATATCATTCGTCTAGCCTTTGGTGCTCTCCATTGCCTGGAAATAAAGTCGTAACTCTTTAATATGGCCTTGAAAGTCCTCTCTGATTTGCTCCTTGACCTAATTTTCAAGCTTGTCTTCTGCTATTTCCTTGCCCCCATCAATCAATCCCAGCTCCTGACCTTACACTTTAGTCAAAATGTTCCATGAACTATTCTCTGTATATGCATTATCTTGCCTCCTTATTTTTCTCCATTATTGTTCCCTAAGCCTGGAATGCCTGCCCCACCCCCTGAAGGCCTGTTAAAATCTTACATATTTCATGGCCTAGTTTAAATGCCATCTTCTCTGGGAAGCATTTATGACCCACTCCTTTTACCCTCAAGTTATTTTTAATCTCTCTTCCATGCTCTCACATTTCCCCAATATCTCTTATTGTAGTACTATATTAGGGGCACAGGGATATGGTAGAAAAAGCCCTGGGATTAAACCTTACATTTATCACTTATAATTGCATAAACTTGGACAAGTCATTTAAGTTTCCTTATCACGACAGGGAGATTTTAACACCTATCTTACTGAGTTGTCATAAAGATGAGCATATCTGTGAAAGCACTTTGTTAATCCCATTATTATTATATCCCATAACACATTCTCCTCTTAGGGTCATTGGTACACGAGTCTCTTCTTCACAGCAGATTAAAAACTCTTGGTGGGGGTAAGGACGGCATCTCTGTATCTTTCCATTCCACAGTACAAGCAGATGCTGGGTAAGTGGTGGCTCTATTAAACTGAATTGTTCCCTGGAGGTCCCTCCCAATTCCAGGCTCCCTAACTTCCCATCTTTACCCACATGGAAGTGACTGATCAGTCCCCTTGCCCCCAGGCTGTTGCAAGCTCTCTCACACAACTTAGCACTCAAGCACTTCCTCCTCTGGACCCTCAGACCACGGCCCTCGCAAGCCCTGATGTCACAGATCTGGCACTGGGCCTGACCTCCTCTGTCCCAGGGACTGCTCCTACCTTTGCCAGGATGCCGTGGCGATGAGTCTTGCAGAGATGATGATGAAAGGCCAGCTCCAGACTGTACTGCAGCTGTTCTACTTTCCTTTTCTCTTGGAGCCCTGGCCGGTCTGAAGGAGGGGATGGGACCATAGCAAGAAAAAGAAAGAACATGGACGTTAACTTCCCCAAAAGGGTGTGTCATTCTGGACATCTGTGCTGAATATAGATCTTCCTAGCTGAGTGAGAGAGAGTGTAAGTGTGTGTGTGTGTGTGTGTGTGTGTGTGTGTGTGTGTGTGTGTGTGTGAATGTGTGTGTCTTGGTTTGATAATGGTAAGCTATGGGGCCTTGGGCTGGGCTAGCTTTCTACAAGGAAAACTGGAGAGAGAAGAAAGGGATGAGACATTCCAATCTCCCAGTTCCAAGCTGCTCTATCCCTGGTACCCTGATATTTCACATAGCTAATTCAAAGCTAGGCACTAAAACTCTGCTGTGGGGAAGAAAAAAAAAGTTCTCTCTTCTTCCCCGCCACCTGGCAGGGACGGCTCCAGATAGGAGATGGACTTTGTAAAGCCACCTAGGTCAGCAACAAGGCCTCTGCAGCAGTCTGTGGCCAACTTCAAGAGACAAACCGCCTTTTGCCCTGACTCCATAAAATACCCAGAAGTCATCTCTTAAGTCTTTATTTCTAGTTCAAGGGGAATGTTTAGGTCTCTACTCATTGGCAGAGCCAGAAGACTGATAATCTTGGTCTGCAAACTCAGGTTAGCAGCTCAAGCCACTTCCCCAGGTTCTCTGAATCCTCAGCATTCAGCTGGCTCACCAGCCCCACTCCATTCCAGCGGAGCGGACATCCAGAGTCCTGCCATGATGGCATGTTGTCTTTTGTTTTGGTTTGGTTTTCGTTTCTGTTTCTGGCTGCGCTGCAGGGCTTGTGGGATCTTAGTGCCCCAACCAGGGATGGAACCCATGCCCTCGGCAGTCAAAGCGTGGAATCCTAACTACTGGACCGCCAGGGAGTTCCCGATGGCGTGTAGTCTTGAAATGAGTTCACACAGAGCAGTGATTCTCAAGCTTGGTGGCACATTACAATCCCTTGTGAGAGGCTGTTAAAACTTCTGGTGTTCCGGCAGCACCCCAGATCAATGACCTCAGAGTCGCAGCAATCGTTTTTAAAGCTCCCCAGGCGATTCCAACGTGCGGCCGCAATGGAGTCACTGACAGGGACTCACAAGCAGACTAATTTCTCCCAGGGAAATGGCTCACTTCCGCTCTTCCTCACGTCTCCCCACTTCTCCAACCCCGCCTGCGCTGCTCTTTTCCCTCTGTCAGGCTCCCCTGGATCTTTATTTTAACTCATATTTTTACAGCAATATTCGGGGCGGGGGGGAGGGCTCATTCTGCTCTTTAAAGTGACTTCCCAGATTTAACCACAAGCAAAGGTCCAGACTCTTCAGTATCTGTTGCGCCCTCCCACTGCCTGAATGTCCTTTACCCAAGCCCAGTGACACTCACTGGCGTTGATGAGGACGAGGGCCGTGTAGAGGGCAATCTCGTCCTCGGAAAAATGCAAGGCACTCAGGGAGTGGGAGAAGTCAAAGATGGAGCTGATGAGCTCGCTGCAGCCTGGTGGGGTGGAAACGAAAGAGTGAGCAAGGTGGGTGAGGCCACAGTGCCCGAGGACACCCGCCCCTTGGTGTTTGGAGCAGAGCGGGCAATCTGTCCTGAAAAGAGGGCGCCCTGGGTCTCCAGGATGGGGTTGGCATCCGACTCCTCTCTCTCATTTCCCCCTGCCCCTCACCCAAGGCTCGGAAGAGCTCCATGCCACCGTATTTGCCTTCAAAAAAGACTGTATGGTTGTCAGCATTGTAGGCCCGGCACATCCTGACCAGCACTACTTCCATGGCTCCTGGGGAGTGGGGAGAAAGGCAGGTACACCATCAAACATGGCCAGGAATCTGTCTCTGTCTCCCTCAGTGTCCCAGTTCCCTTAAGGCACCTCCCTCCACTCAGCCCTGCCCGTTTCCTCGTCTGTCCCCACTGCCCCCAGGCCCGCCCCCTCTCCCTGGGCACCTGCTTTGAGTAGCACGATCTGGTCATTCTGGCAGAGCTCCATAAAGCCCGAGAGCCTCTTAGCGAACTCCACCACGTACTGAATGGCCTCGGTGAGGCGGTGGGCACAGCGTTCCCACATCTCCCACATTGACTGCAGGGAAGGAGGGGGTCCCACTGTAGCCCTCTTTATGACCCCGGGACCCCCCCAAGGCCCTGGGAACCCAGACAGATAAACTGCAGGGGGTAGATTCTGAACTGCCACATTCTCAGCACCTGTGTTCTTAGCCTATTCTTAGCACAAATGTTCACTCCAGGTTAATTCCTGTCACTTGGATGCACTTAGCGCCCACCAGCCACTGGCGCAGAGTTAGCTGTTGTGGGGACTTAACAAACGTCTGAGATACAGCTTTTGCCCTCAGAGAGTGTGCATCTTGTTGAGGTGACTAAGACATACCCAAGTTCAGTACCAAACAGGTGCTCTTAGCGCAGGAGCTGTTGTCAGAGTGACAGGAGGGAGAGAACAAGCTTTGGAGCCAGATGGATCTGAATTTGCCTTCAGATCCACTACTTTGCGACGAGGAGTAAGTCGACGAACTCCTCTGAGCTCAGTTTCTCAGTCCATTAAGAACAGAGATAGATGCCAGCCTCATAGGTTGGCTGTCCTTAGGGTCAAGGATAATTTATGTAAAGCGCTCAGCACAGTGCCTGGCAGAGAAGGAGCGCTTAACAAATGCTGCTCAGGATTCTGACTCTTGTCGTCGTCGATGGAGAAGGAAGGAGCTTAGGCCGAGGTCTGTTCGCCAATGTTGGGGTGATGGGGGAGGTAGGATGAAGGACGCGTAAAATGACCATAGGCAGGAGCTGAGGAGAAGCTCTCATCCATCTACTAGGGTGCGTACCTAACAGCGGTACCCACTGTGTCTTTCTGGGATACCCTGCCTTGCTCCAGCCCACTTGTGTGTGCAGGTGGCTGTCTCTGGACCCCCCAGTGGTGGTGGGAGGTCCTCCCTTCCTTGCGCAGTCCCCTGGCCTCACCTTCCTCTGGTAGCCGGCCACCTCCTCTCGGGAGAAGACGGTGGAGCGCTGTCCGAGCAGGTCCTCCAGCCGCAGCTGACACGTCTCTCGGTAGGACTTACAAACGTTCTGCACCAGATGCTCTGGGGCCGGAGAAGGAGGAGGAAAACAGGGGCTCGATCTCAGCCAGCTCCTACCCTTCCCATACAAGGGGCACTCCACTGCCTGGCCTAGCGCTGCTCTGCCTCCCCCCGAGGCCCCTGTGCACGTCTGGTTTACACGGGGTGCTGACTAGGGCCCCCTTCTTGGAAGCCCCTCCCTTCTCTTCCTCCCCCTCCCTTCTCTCCAGCTACCTCCCCAGGGGCTCACCAATCTCTGTCAGGGAGGCATAAGGCGCCTCTGGGGTGCTGCGGAAACTGGGGCTGAAGTAGCTGTCCGGGCCCCGTCCTGGTTCCCCAAGCCCAGGGTGCCTGGGGTCTTCGAAGTGGAGTCCACACCTGTCAAGGGTCAGCTGGCTGCCTGTGCCGTAGCAGTTCTCTCTGCCCTCGGTCTTGCCCCGCTCAGGGCTGTATTCCAGGTGGTACGAGGCCCCGTTGAGCCCGGCCTTGGCCAAGCTGTTGGAGTAGGAGGGCCCGCAGCCTGGGGCTCTCAGGAGACTGGGGGGACAGGCTGAGGCCTCCGGCAGGTCAGGCGAGGAGCCCAGGGGCAGCTGCCCATCTGGGAGGCCCAAGGTGCAGGCGAGGGGGTCTGCTCCTTGGGCTCCTGCAGGAGGGGTCTTGGCCGCTTGTTCCCTTTGCTGCTGTTGCCGCTGTTGCAGTTGTTTCTGCACCTCAGCATGCAGGCTGTCCCTTTGCTTCTTGGACATGCGGCCAAACTTGACAGCTGAAAGAGGTTCGGGGATCAGGAGTTTTTGAGGGGGGAGGACAGGGTACAGGGCAGAGTGAGTAGGCATCTGCATCATCACAGGGTGAACTTGCTGCTCCCTGAATAGCTGACTCCAAGCAGAGCTTCTCCAGTCCTGCCTGAGAGCCTCCCTTCAGGGCACTTTTGTTCAAGACCCCTCCCACCTCTCACTCTGGTTTGCTTCGGGGCTTGGTGCAACCCAGACATTTCAGTCTCCCGGGCAAAACGCTCCTGGCTCGAATCCACCTTCTACTAGTGGCAGAATTCAAGCAGTGAGTCCTGACTGAGGGCCCTGGCCTCCTGATATGGGGCTGGGGGTGGCTGAGTGGGGGGCCTCGAGCTATATTGGGGTCACCGCGCCTGTCTAGGAGGGTCGGAGGAAGAGGAGAGCCGAGAACACAGGTCTCCCTGTGGTCAGGCCTGCAGGCTCCCTGGTGACCTAGATACTCACCACAGCCCAACCCAGGCTCCGCGGCTTGTTTCTGAACATCCTCTTCTGCTCTCTCTTTCCTGCCTTTTCATTTGCCCTGCCACCCCTCCCAGGTGTGGGGACACAGCCCCTGGTCGCCCCGCCTGCCCCTCCGCAACCCTGCGTATTTCCTTTCACTTTGTTATTTTGGGCTCTGAAAAGTGCTGACAGGCTTCTTCTGGCTCCTCATCCCCTCAGGTCTCCCCCGGCCCCGGCCTGGGCTCCTTCCGCGGCGTTGCCGTGGGAGCGGTTTGGGGGCTGCGAGGGGGCAGTGGCTGAGGAAGGTGGAGAAAAGCCACCAGGAACAGCCGGCCTCCCCAGCCTCAGCCTTCTGGGCTGTTCTCAGGCCAACTGTGGTCCCATTCGCAGCCCTCGCCCCCTGGCCCAGGCTGGGGATGGGGCACTATGGAGGGAGACGGAGCTGGAACTGGAGCCTTGGGGCAGGAGGGAAAGATGTGGAATGCGGATGGGATCTGGGTCACAGGGGAGTCGGGTGAGGAAACTCCATTCGGAGGAAGGAGCAAGTGAAGAGTCTGGGACCTTGGGGAAAGGAGGGTTGTTGTAGCAGAGCCTGAAGCTGGGGACTGTGAAGACCTTTGATGAGGGTAGCCTGCCCACTGCCTCGGTGAACAGTGGAAGAGACAAGGGCCTGCCAGAGGGAGGGATGGAGCCCCCGAAGGGCGTTCTAACCCCTGTCTGGCACAGCAGGTCAGGCTGCCCCTCTGGAGACTGAAGCCCCGGGGGCTGCGCGCTTGGCCTCACCGTCTCGGGACATGCCCAGGGCCAGGCATTTCTGCAGGCGGCAGTGCTGGCATCGGTTTCGGCTAGTGCGGTCAATGGGGCAGTTCTGCTGACGGGTGCAGGAGTAAGCCACGTTACACTGCTGGCTCCGGCGGAAGAAACCCTGGGGAAGGCAGGTGGAGACCAGGACTGCTGATCTGGGCCAGGCCCAGCTCAGTCCCAAGTGCCTGCAGCCCGCAAGCTCTAGCCCCACCTTTTCCAGATCTTACACGACGCCTCAGTTTTCTCTCCTCCATTGTAATCTGTCCTGCAATCACTTCCCTAGTTGAAGACAAGGCCCTCCTGTGCAGGGCTCTCCAGGCAAGGTGCCACACGGGCAGCTCCCTAGCTGTCTCAGGAGACCAGCCCCGCAGGCAGAACAAAGGCCACCGAGCCCCCTCTCCCCATCTCTGAAGAGACTGTGTATGTGTGTGTACTCACCTTGCACCCCTCACAGGTGATAACCCCGTAATGGATCCCAGATGATTTGTCCCCACAGATTTTGCAAGGGATCACTTCAATTTGTGCTAGAAGAGGGAAAGAGCAGAGGTCAGCCCAGGAGCCCTTGGTGTATCCTACCGCCTGTACCTGGGGGGCAGATACAGGGACATGGGGCTTCCCTTGCTTCCCTCCCCCGCTCCAGCTTGCTGTTTCCCTCTTGCAAGACGGATGAAGGAGTGAATGCCGAATGCCATTCAGCAAAGTGTCTGTGGAGGCTGTTTTAGTTTCCCGGGCTGGCCGGGGGTTGTATCAGTTCTACAGGGGCAGAGAAAACAGCTGCAGAGGCCACCTGTTCAGCCCCTCAAGATGAAAAGCTCTAGTTGCCTCCCTCTTGCCTGGGGACCTAGGAGTCCTCACGGCTTCACAACACCTGCTTCCCGCCCAGGGGGCTTCCTCTGTGCCGCCCTCCCCCACTGGGGCTCGGCCCACAGGGGCAGAGTGTGGGGCATGGTGGGAAGATGTGGTCCACCAGGCAGGAGGCACCTGGGGGACAGGTAGAGATGCCAGCCATCCTTGGCTGGGCAGTGAAGGCTCAGGGAGGGGCTGTGCAGAGACCAGGGGCCGAAGGGGGCAGGGTCCACTGGGTGGGCCCCAGAGAGGGTAAGGAGAAGCCGAGATGGAGCCCAGGAAAGTGGGGTCAAAAAACCAGCTCTGCTGGATGTCTGAGAGCCAGGGAGCGGATCAAACAGTCCTCCTAGGTTCCTGGCCCCAGAGCAGAGGGTGGCTGTGTGTGTCTCCACGTATGAGAGTGTGCATGCTAATGTGTGTACGAGGGCCTCCGCGTCCAACTGTGTGCGCACAAATCATGAAGGTTAACACTGGCTGGGACTACGGACCATCAAATTCAACCTCTTTTTTTCCTTCACAGATGAAGGAATAGGCCAAATGAGATCAGGTGGTTGGCCCAGGTTCATACCGCTAGGTTACCCATGAGCTGGGTCTATATCCCAGTTCCCCATAGCTTTCCATTCGGCTGTTCTGTGTATATGACTTTTGGGGCACACACATCAGTGGGCATGTTGCATGTTTGAAGGGGTGCTCATATGTGTGTGTGTGTGTACACATGAAAGGTACACGTGGTTCGTGAGCCAATAGGCACGTCTGCTTGAGCTAGTGTGCACACGTGCGTATTTGTTAGTGTTTGTTCACTGGCTGCCAGGACCCCCCTCTCTCCCACTGAGCTCACTATAACCTACCTCCCCGCTCCCTTCACTGTGGTTGGTTACTGGCCCCAGGTTTGCCCCATCCTTGTCAATGCCCACAGGTCTCTGCTGAGTTTCAGGGACCAGGCATTGGCCTCCCCCCAGCCAATCTTTGAAGACACTGGGCAGAGCTGGTGTCCCTTTCATCACTCCTAAGGGCATGTGGGTCTCTCCTCTGCCATTGCTGACCTGCTGCCTCCCCTCCGAGGGGGCATGCCTGGGGTGGAGCACGTCATAAATTCGTCTAGGACCGTAGCCCCTTCTCATCTCTGATCCCAAGGGTCAGAGGAAGCAGCAGCCTGCCTATAGGGCAAATCCACAGTCCTGTGAACTCTCCTCTGGTCCAGGCCTGGACCCTGGTTGCGTGTAGGACCTGCTGATGTGAGGTGGGGAGGGTGACCATGGCTCCGTGGCACTCCCTGAAATCTTGTTTCCATCATCCTTAAACCATCATCCCCTCAGGCTAGCCTTGAGCTGGGTCAGAGTAAGCAGCTGCCTTCTCACGGGGGACGGGGTGCATAGGTGTCTAAAGTCCCTCCGTTAGAGCTCGAGGCTTCTCCTCACCCCCAGCCCCACTAGTCTGCCAGCACCCACACAATAGGCTGTGATCATCCAGGACAGACAGCAAGGGAGCTTTGAGCTTCTTTCCAGTAAATTAAGAGCAGATTGGAATGAATGGAGGGAAGAGAGAACAAGCGGGGGGGATTGGGTGCCTGGAAAAGGGGCAGAGAACGTGGGGGCACATGCACCTCTGGCCACTGGATTCTCTGGGTCTCAGTTCCCTTGCCAGTAAAAGGTAAGCATAGCCTTCACCGCCTGTCCAGGGGATGACAGGCGGTAGCACCGTGGGTATGTGGTATCACCTGTGGAAAGCGCTGCGTGGCCGCGAGCACTGTGTGTGCGGGCTACCACCAAGCACGGCAGTGGGCGCAGAACCCAGAAGGCATTTGAGGCCCAAGAGAAGTGCTCGTGCCCTGTGGAGTCTGCTCTTGCCTCTCCCCAACGCGTTTCCTCTCCAACACCGTGGGATCTCCCTCCTCGGTGGCCTTAAGCCCAGAGAGGGCAGAAACCAACATGGGTCACCCAAAAAAGTAAGCGGGAGGGAGACTAGGCCAAGCCACAGTGGGAACTCGGGCTCCAGCCCAGTCCTCAACCACAGGCCTCCCTGCCTCTTCCCTTCTCCAAGAGCCACATCCGTGTGCGTGTGTGAGCTGACCACACGGGTAACTCAGACACATCTCTCTGCCCCACAGCCTGACTCACTGCTGGTCCTGGCCCTAGGAACCTCACAACAGTGTCACCAAGACCTCGCCCTTCTCATAGGATGATGTGGCCAGCCACAAACCACCTTCACAAATACCCATGTTTGGGGGACACCAGAGTTTAGACCCCAGCCACCAGGCCAGCCACTCCCCCATGCTCCCCAACCATAGTCCGAGACAGAGGCACACAGTGAGGCAGGCACACAGGGAATGAGACAGGCACATAGGATCAGGGGTTTCAGGCTAGAGGGTCAGACCCTCTAGCCTCTGAGCTAGAAAGACCAAGAGTTTTGGGACCCGGAGACAACAGAGACAGACCTAGAGAGAGAGAGAGCCGCAGAAACACAGAAAAACCCACACTCGTGCCCTGGGCCCATGCCCAGCCCCTGGCCCTCTCAGCACTGTCAGGCCCTCTTATCCTACTCCTCCCTCCTGGCCCTGCCACCTGTCCCCCCGCAATGCCATCTACCCAAAACCTCAAAGAGAAAGTACCGGTGCACATGAGTGTGACTTGTGGAGGAGGGGAGGGGAGAGAACGGGAAGAGGACTGGCAGAGGTGGAGGTGGGGTGAGCCGGAGCTGAAAAACACCTCGGATACCTCACCTTCAAAACCTCCCCCTTGAGCCCTGTCCCTGAAGCAGCAGGTGGTGGGAACGCAAATTGGGGAGGGGAGCTGAGTAATCACAGGATTACTCAAGCTGTTTCCCGGGAGCCTGGCCTGCCAGGAACTTACCATCTAAGGGCCTGACAGTGCCAGGAACTAGAACCAAGCCGAGGTCAGGAACGTCTAGGCCAGCCCCTGCAGCACGGCTCCCGCAGCAGCCCTCACTCTGCCCAGCCTCACCTGCCGCTTCGGGAAGATCTTTGTAGCTCACACGGTAGCTCTCTCCCAGGGCCCACCAAAGGAAACCCTCCAGTTCCAAGGAGGGAGAAAGGCCCCTGTGCACACGATACCTCCTGAAACCACCTAGTGACTGCATGACTCTAGACCTCTGAGTCTTAAACAAGATCACCTAGCGAGCTTGTTAAAATGCAGGTCCCCACACGGCAGGTCTGAGGGGGGTCCAGGCTCTCCCATTTGAACAAGCTCTTGGTCGGTGCCCAAGCTTGCTGGTCCTCACCCTACCTTTCTGAGTAGCAAGAATTTAGTCCCTCTTCCTGTTTATGCCTCTCTCTGGGGCATAAGGGTGGGGTTGGTGGTCTCTTCCCCAGCTCATTCTTGTATCTTCCCTGCCATCCAGTGTGACCTCTAAAACTTTATTCTGACATGGTACTAGGTAAAGAAAATGAATCTCTTCTGGACTGCTTCGGGGATTGAAGGATCCCCAGGGAGCTTCCTCTGAGCACCTCCTATGTGGGGAAATATGGTAGAGACAAAGTAGGCTGTCCCCCCTCCCTCCAGCCTCCTCTAATCTCACTGTTCTCGCAGCTGCGAGATTCATTGATAGCGCTCTTTGAATGCATCCAGAGCTTGGCCCTGTGCCACCTTAGGAAGCCAGCCCTGGGCCCTGTCCAGGTGCCCTACACCACAGAGAGGAAGTGGTGGGAGCAAAGGAGGGGCTGCAACCCAGGGGGATCTCTCCCCTCAAACCCCGGAACCACCCCCCAGCTCTGGTAGAGAAAGGATGCAGCCAGAGGACCCAGATTGGCTGGGGTCCTCATCTTCTCCTGGTGCCCCAGCAGTCTAAAGCTAGGCTTTTCCTCTTTTCTCTTTCTCTCTCCTTTTCTCCAATGGACATCGATTAAGGGGGACGAGTAATAAAGGTAGACATCAGCACTGGCTGAATTCTTATTCTGTGCCAGGCGTTACATACATTTTTCATTTAATGATCACAGCAATCCTGTGAAGTAGGTACTATTTGTATTGTCCCCATTTTACAAATGAGAAAACTGAGTCCAGGGGAGAGTAAGCGGCTTGACTAAGTAGCAGAAGTAGCAGATCTGGCATGTGAACCCAGGTCTCTGTAACCTGAGAGCCAGTGTCCCCAACCATTGAGCCATATACTCTACAAGGATGAGACGCCCAAATGCACGGAATGGGATGGGGGACAAGGTTACCGGCCGCAGGGGAGAGTGTGAAGTGAGGGGGTGGGCTAGGAACGGAATTCAGGGGGGACACCCATGGAAGATTCATGCCAAGATTCACGTCTAGTCTAAAGATCCAGAGAGACGTTATTCCCTCTGTCCCACACCTTCTGTGGTACCAGCCCCCTCCTGCTTTTACCCTTGGCTTCTAAGGCCAGGGAGGCAGGACTCGCCCATCCCACCAGAGCTCCTGACTTGGGACTCCTCGGGAGACCACAGCTCCCTTGGGGTGTGGACTGGCTTTCACACATCTTGGTAGGTCTCTCTGCAGGAACGAATGAGTGAGTGAGCAAGAGGAATGGATCTCTTTTCTTAGCTTAGGGCCCCCTCACCCCACAGCCCAAACTAGTCCCTCTCCTCCCACGGAGACCACAGCTCCGGCCAGGGAACCCCTGTGTACCCCAGCCTGTCACCAGCTTCCCTCCTTTCTCAGCTCTCAGTTCCCACAGCTTCTGCAAAGCTGGAAACCACGGCGGTGGGCTCCGCCACAAAGAGCAGGAGGGGGAGGGTTGGGTTGGGGGTCAGGAGACAAGCAGTTGTACCTGGTGAACGCTCCTCCCTGCCCATGGTGAGAATTTTCTGCTGATACACCCAGATCCCAGGCTGAGAAAGTAGTGAAGCTAAAACTCAGGTGGGCGAGGGAGAGTCTGGGGTTTTGAAAAGCCACGAAAGACAGCCAGCCACCTGAAACCCCCCCCCTTGGTGCCCTGCCACCCCCGCAGTCTGGGACAGGAGAAAGGAGGGGAAACAAAAAAAACGAGTGAAAACAACCAGTGGCTGGGGGGAGGACATGAATCACCAGGAGGAAGCTGTGAGGGGTGGGAGCCCAGACGCCACAATCAGTGGCCTTCCCGGCCTCCGGGCTGCATCTCCTCTCCAGAGTGCCTCTGCTGGTGCAGACACCAGTGGACCCAGGAGGACCCTGGCTCTGGCCCCGAGGCCCTGCTCTGTTGCCGTCCCTCCTCCCAGATAGACATCTCCATCCTTCCTGAGCCCAGAGTCCCAGGGAGGGGCAGCATTGCAGCAGCAGAAGGAGTGGAGATTAGATCTCAGAAAGGACTAGTCACTGGAGGAGGGGAGGAGACCCCAGGGCTGCCTTTCTTGGAGAGCTCTTAGCATGGGAAAGTCCCCGTTCCCTGTTTGAGGCAGTGGCCTGGGGGCAGGGGAGGGAGAGGGAGCCCCTGGGAGGGGCAGCCACGCCAACACCCACATTTCATTGTGGTGGGACGGGCTGGGATGCTCCCAACATCTAGGGCCTTGGGCTGGGGGTGTTTGGGAGTCCCGTTAGGCATGGGAAGAGGGGAAAAGGCGAAGGTGCAACAGTGATGCGAGGAAGGAGGGGGCCCTTTGTAAAGGGCTCTCAGGCTGAGGTCTGTGGCACCCGGGAACTTGGACTTCTTTCTGGCCCACGGCTCCTCATTATCATGACCAGACTGGAGATAGATCAGGGCACAGCAAAGACAGGCATGCAACCTCGTACCCCTCGTCCTCCCACCTCCCCATCCAGGCCGAATGCCGGGGCCTCATGTCTCTTGGCTCCACACCGGCCGCACCCCAGAGTGAGCTGATGGGGCCACCCTCCCTCTGGCTGGCTGGGGAGTCTTTCTGGCTAATGGACATTTCCTCTCTACTGACCAGCATGTTGCCATGGCAGAGAGCCTGTATCATTCCTTCAGAACTTCTAGAAATCCCATGCCTCCCACTTTCTGCCTTCCTAGACCCGATCAATACTCAGTGTCTCCACTCTCCTGCCAGCTTTCTTTCCTCTCTGTCTCTCCCTGCGTCTGTGTGCCCTTCCATCTTTGCACTCCAGTTCTGTCTCAGGCTAGACACCGCGATGTTTTGACTCTCCTGGCATTTCTCTAGTTATATCTCTATCTGGACATCACTCTCTCCCCATGTGTTTCATAGATCTTTCGTCATTTGAGTTTGGCCTCTGCATCGCTCTTTATTTCTTGATCTATTTCTGCTCCTTGTGTGTCTGGCCCTTGGGTCTTTGGGTGTGTCACAGTCCCAAGACCCCAGTGCTCTGCCCGCCCCAGCTAAGGTCAAAGAACATGGTGATGGCTGGTACTCACTAGGGGGTCAGGGCAGTCAGATAATCTGGGGCTATGAGATACCCGAGGATGTCCTAGTGAGAAGGACCAGTGGTACCAACCCCCAGATTGGAGGAGACCCCTCTCTTGCCTACTGCGCAGGGGGATATCATGTAGAGCTGACCAAGTGTCTCCCCCGTCTAGTCCCAGGAGCTCCTGCCCTCCTGCCAGGCTCTGAAGCACATCTGATCATTGCTTCCCAGGGTGGATTTGCTGATTTGAGACCATTTCTGGGAAGACCGGTTTGCTAACCTTTGCTGCTAATGGGAAGAAGCTAGAAGGGAAACTGAAGCCCCAAGAGGCCCTTCTTCTTGTGGAAGATTCTGGCTCTTCTCCTCACCCCTCCTGACCTGCCCCAGCTCATACACATGCACTGGAGTCTCCGTCCCAAACGTGGAAATGAAGTTCTTTCCTTTCCTTGGTCGCCTTTGTGTACCCTCTGGGAGAGCTGAGTTTCCTCCACTACCCTTGGAGGTGCTTAACTCAGAGACCAGCGCTCTCTCTTTGGTCCTGGGCCCTCAGAACTGGGAGCTCCCCAAAGTTGGTTCTGTTTTAAAATTCAACTTACTTGTTTTAAGGAGACAAGGGCCCAATGACTTGCCTAAGGCTACAAGGCTAGTCTGTGAGAGACGGCACCAGAACATGGTCTTTAGACTCAGCCCACGGGTCTTTCCAGGATCTAATATGGCCTCTCTTTTGTGGGTTGTGGGAAGACCCCAGGTTGAGGCTGGGGGTACCTCAGGCCTCAGGCCACAGGGGCATAGGACTTCCCTTTTCCTCCTTCGCCCTGTGCTCTGAGAGGTCCTCTGGCTTCCCTTACAAGGGCGAGTTGCCCACCCCTGCTCTGCTAGATGGCACAGGGACCCCAGACATCTGCCCACCAGCTGTTGGCCCATGGCTCTGGGCCAGGAAACGGGTGAAGCTGAGGGCTTTTTGCTCCCATCTCCACTGTGTGATCCTACTCATCAAACAGGCATCTGAACCTGGGGTGGGGTCTCTCTCTCTCTCTCTCTCTCTCTCTCTCTCTCTCTCTCTCTCACACACACACACACACACACACACACACACACACACACACACACACACACACACACACACACACACACAGAGCACCCTGGCTGGATTCCACTTGGTCATCATGTTCCTGCACTGGGCAGAGAGTGATGGAGAGGCCTGGATGCTGGGGTTCTGACCGCCTCTGCCTGCTGACCTGGCTTTACCCTCACTGTCCCACCGCTTCAGGGTACAGCAACTCCTTCGGACTCTTTTCTCACCCTACTCTCAGGCGGTTTGGAGGCACGGAGGGAAACACTGCAATGGGAGCCAGGGGAGTGAGTTCAGGCTGGCTTATAATTACCGACCTCCCCCTACTACAGCTGTGTGATCTGGGGTGAAGCACTGGGCCTCTCTGGGTCTCAGTCTCTTTTTGTAAAACGAGGGGCAGGGTACCTCAGATGCTCTTGGAGATCCTTTTCAGAGCCCATGACACAGGAGTTCCTCAATAGTCCCTTTACTGGGGCTGCTCTAAGAGAACTGCTCGGGGAGCCAGACTCCCCGACTATTCCACCCATCTCCCAACAGACTTGGCCTTGACCGGGACACCCCCTGCCAGGGAAGAGCACTCAGCTCTGCTCACACTGTTCCCAAGGTGCCCGTCCTTTCCAGAGGGCCCCAGGCTTCCCCTCTCCCGGGTGGCCCATTCACTTACTTCTCATGACTGAGTCGTGGGCTTTGCCGCCTGGGCTCCCTGTCCTTCTCAGCAGGGGTGTTCCAGGGATGGGGCGCAGATGGCAGTGGGGCTGCGGGCCGTGGCTCTGCACCTAGCTCTCCCCCAATGCTGCTGGGCAGGGGGTTTAAGATCTGCACCCCACAGGTGGCCGAGTGACAACCCCCCCCAGCTCCACCCCCCCACCCCTCTGGGGTGTAGTGGGTAGGATGACAGGCGCCCCATGTGGCCAATCTGGGCCTGGGGCAGAGTGTGAGGGGCGGGGCAGCCAATCGCAGGGGGCGTTGGAAAATTCCAAAACCACAGGCGAAAGACACACGCGGTAAAAGCTGTTTCCACCCGCCAGGGTAGTTCTGGCTGGGGAGCCGGAATGGAGCTCACACGAGCCTGGGGCCAGGTCCCTACTCCCCCTCCCCCCGAGGATCCCAGAGCCTGACCCTCTTTGCCAGGTGACTCCAGGGACAGGGATATTTCCAGAGGTAAGTCACAGAATGTCTGCCTGGGGCCACCTGCGACCCTGTGGACTGCCAAGAGCCGAGCTCAGTGAGATGCAGTCTGGGAGGCTGCTCCACCACCTACCATGCTCATGCCCTCCCTGCAGACACGGTGCATGCCCTGGGCTAGGGAATAAATGATAATAGTAGCAGTAATAATCATCAGACAAATGCCACTATCTGTAGGAAGGGTTAGTCCATCAGAAACTTCCTCAGGAGCAAAAGTGCTGAAATTGGAATGCGGATGATGATGACGATGATGATGGTAATGCTTAGCCATATGCCAGCAATGGTTCTTAACGTTTTATGTGGATTAGCTAATCCTCAAAAACTACTTTATGTGGTAGGTACCGTTATACCTATTTCAAAGATGAGGAAAAGGAGACACAGAGGGGTTAGGTATCTTGCCCAAGGTCACACAGCTAGTGAAGTGGTGGCGTCCGGATTCAAAATCAGGCAGTTTGGCCCCAGACTCCACTTGAGGAATGGGAAGTTTTCTCTGGTTCAGGTCTGCTTACGAGGGTCTCCTGGTGTGCAAATCTCTCTGTAGAGTTGCTTGGCCTTGGGGAGGCCAGTCAACTTCAGAGGCTCTCTGAGCCTCATAGCTGCTCCGTGGGGTACCTCAGCCTCGGGGTTCCCTCTTCAGGATCCCTTAGTAATCAGGCCCCCTCTTGGTCTGGGGGGGTCCCTCTCGGGTTCCTCCCTCCTTGGGGTTGTCTCGGACCCCCTTTGGGGGGCTGTCTCAATTCTGGAGTCCATTTTTCAGAGCCTCTGGGCCTGGGGGAGGTGTTCATCTCTCCTGGATTCTCTGGGCCAACACTCCTAAGAGGTCTCTGACCCTGCCGGGACTCCACGACTCCTCAGCCTGGCACAAGCCTTTCCCCGCTGGCCTTCCTCGGGCTCTCAGGAGCTGGGCAGTGGGTTGGGGGAGGACACTCATCGGTGGGGGTGGGGTGAGGGGGTGGCTGCATGGGGCCAGTGGGTTGCGAAGGGGTAAGGGGGTGTGGTCCTGGCCGAGGTTTCTGTGGTAAGGGGTTAAGGGTAGGAATGGAGCTGAGCCTCTTCCAGTTCCAGATGCTCTGAAAGTCCCCCATCTCCCCCCACCCACATATGGTCCCTGGTCCTCACCTCCCCCACCTCCCCCACGTCACTCCTTGACCCGCTTTCCTCCCAGGGCCCTGCTCAGCATTTCCGTGGGGCCCTGTGGCTAGGGGCAGGCGAGGCACCGATCAGGATTGTGCTGAGCAAAGCAACCCCCCCACCAGAAGGATGTAGCCTCCCGGTGGCCCCCCAGCCCCTGTGTGACCAGCTCAGGGAGGAGGGTGAGGCTTTTGCCCTCTGAGATCTCTCTGCTTGGAACAGGGAGCTCTAGCAGTTTTGACAGCAGGAGGAGTCGCAGTGAGCTCTCAGGGGGAACTGGTAGGCAATCCAAGAGAGGGCCATAGAGAAATGCAGGTGGCCTCTCCTACCCCAGAGTTGTCCTCATCAATTCAAGGATGCTTAGAAGGCCTTCCTCAGAGTGCCCTCAGGCTGGTAAGGGCATGTGGGTGGGACATGAGCTTTGAGACCAAGGTGCGGTGGGTGCATTTTCTGGGGGACTAGCCTCTCCCATGAACTAGGAGGATAGATCTGATGTGCTGAGAGTTCCCTAGAGAGGATGTTACTTGCTAGAATCCATTGGGAAGTCTTTCCTGAGCTCTAACCCTTTTCTCACATGCTGTAGCCTCAGTCTTTCAGGGCCCCAGGACCCAGAGTGTTCCTATCTATGTGTTTCCTACAGAGATGAAGGCTTTCCTGCTCTCTAGCCCTGCACAGGCTGGCCCCAGGCTTGTTCACACCTCGGGATGTGTTAACCACCGAGATGAACACCAAACCTGGCTCTGCCTCCACAAAGCCTGGTGCAGCCTCTCGGAGTCCCTGAGGCCACCCTGCCTCCCCGTCTCCCCGCTGGCCCAGCGATCTGCCCCACCCCCTTGCGTCTCCTGTGCCTCTGTCCAGCAGCTTCCTCTCCTTCTACCGTGGCCCGCTTTCACTGTTCTCTCCTTGTTTCTTCGCGACGTTCCCTCTCACTCTCCAGGCTTCTTTCTTACCTCTTCCGATTGCCCTAATCTTGAGGTTTCTTCACCTCTGCCCCTCCTTTCCCCATCTCCCCATCTCCCCCGTTTTTCTAGGCTCCACCTCCCTTCAGGCCCGGACATCTCTGCCCAGCTCCTCCATCTCTGCACAAGGCACGCGCCTTTCTTTTACACGGACCTCCCTGGAACCCTTGCTAAATTCTTTGCCATCTCTCCACGCCCCAGCACCAGTTCCTACCCCAATTCTCTACTCACAGGTGTGGGTCTTCTTTGCAGCCAGCAGCTCTGTGAAGAGAAGAGAGGGGGTCAGGGCCAAAGGCTGAGGACCACGGAGGACCGAGAGACACTCCCCAATGCCCAGGCCCTCATCCCCACCCCATTCCTTCCCAGCAGAACCTGCCATCTGAGGAGAAGGTAGGACCACCCTCCAGTGCACCCTTCTCTTCACTCTCTGCCCTACAGTCACACGAGGCCTCTTCCAGGTCCTCGGAAGTGCCGGACTCCTGACTACTCTGGGACCGCTCCACACTATTCCTTCTGCCTGGAATGCCCTTCCCTTGCCCCTCCTCAATCTAGATAACTTTTCATCCCCCAGGTTCCTGATTATGTCTTTTCCTTGGAGAGCTCCTCCTGCCTTTGTGCTTACACACTCAGCACGAGCATTTGAGTTCCTGGTACTCACCACATCATCTCACTGCTGTAACTGTGAAATCTGTGAAACGGGGCTTTCCTGCTAGACAGTGAGCCCCATGGAGGCAGGGACCGTGTCTGCCTTGCTCATCTTGTTATTCTGTTGTGCCTGCCCCTTAGAGGTGCACAATAAATACTCCGCAGCCCAGCGGGAGGTCAATCTCTTGGTTGCTCGTTTGTGCCCGAGAGCAGCTGGGAATTCCAGAGGCGTGGTGGTTGAGGGTAGGGGAGTGAGGATGTTAGGGGGAAGAGGAAGGGAGAGCTGCAAGCACAGACCCCTGCTATGCCTCCTGCAGGCTCTGGCTCCATTGGCTCCCCAGCCTGCAGAGGACGGGATCCCCCCCACCCCGCTGCTGTGTGTGCCTGGTCCAGGGGGAGGGCAGGCAGTAGGGAGCACAGGCGGGTTGATGCGGGGTGGGCAGGGAGGCACAGACCTCCAGAGGGGCAGCTGCTGAGGGGAAAGCCTCAGCTGGAGCACTGTTGGAGTGGGGAGGAGCGTGTCGTTCATTCATTCATATGGTTAGCTTTTATTAAACACCTACCAAGGGAGCCCCTGAGAAGAAGCTTCCCCTGCCAGGCCTTGGTGCATTTCTTACATCCACACAGTGGCTTCTCACTGTGTGAGCACAGGGCCAGTCTTTCATTTCAGAAAACGCTGCAGGTCTGCCTTATGCCTCTTATAGTTTCCCTAACCTCTGACTCTGCTCTCTTGTCGTTTTTTTCCTTCTACTTGTCCAGTCCTTGACACCCCCCGGCTTCGGTTCAACCCACCCGCGCCCCCCACCCCCACCCCCAGCGCGCGCGCGCGCGCGCGCGCACACACACACACACACACACACTGTCCCTCTGCCCAGGAGATGCTTCTTACAAGCAGGCTTCCTCTACTGGGCTGGGTGGGGGCGGGCGAGTGGACTTGAAGGCCTGGTTTCTGCTGGGGGTGGGGTGGGGGGAAGGACTGCCCAGAGAGGGAGTGGCTCCATCCGGCCCCTCCCGCCTCCCCACCCATCCTGCCTGGCTCCACCCAGCTTCCTCCCTGACGTGGCACCGTCTCTTTGGCCTCCAGCCTTGCGCCTCAGAGCAGGCCTGGGGTAGGGGTGGTCCCCGTGCTTGCCCCGGCAGTGGAGTTCTTCCTACACCAGGTGGCCCTGCAGCCTCTCCCCCTCAGTGCTCACACCCTGACCTAGCACATGGCCCTGGGATCCTGCAGAGAGAGACTCTGAGTTAGACCATCTGCGGGCCCAAGGACCGCCTGACCCTCCGTCCCCCGCTGCCCCGGCTGAGTGCCCCACATTTTCTGCAGAAATGAGACCCCATCCCCCAGGGCAGTGGGGAGGAATGTGCTGGGCTGGTGGGCAAGGGCGGTGGACAGGGTTCTATTGCTTTCTCGCCGACCCTTTGTCATCCCTAAAGGCAGGACGGCTTCCTCCGTTGCTGAATGAACAGAAAAAGGTGGAGTGGTCAGCCTCCCACTGCTGCCTGGGGTCCCCGCCAGATGAGCAGTGTTTGCCTTTTCTCCCAGGGGGCGCTCACACTTGGGACGTGGACCCTTCCTCCCTCCAGCTTCCCTGACTCTGCTCCCCTCTCCTCCCCCGTCCCAGCCGTCTCTTCCTTCTTCAGCTCTCCCCTTCTTTCCCCTCTCTGTGCTTCCTGTCTCTCCCCCTTCCTATTTCTCCTCCTCTGTCAGGTCCCCAGCCCCTCCTCCCATTTCTCCTTCAGTCTCTATGGAGACCTGTCCTTTCTCACCAGCCTGCCTTCCCCTGCCGACTCATCTTTCTCTCCTTCTCTCTTTGCTTGCCCCTCCTCCCTCCTCACTTCCCGACCAGTCTCTTGCCATCTCTCCCTCTCCTCTAAACCTCCTGGCAGCCCCTTCCACCTGCCTGCAGGGCCCTAGGGCCTCTTACCCTGCGAGGCTCGGTGGTGTCTCTGTGGGGCCCTGTCCATGGGGCAACTCCCTTGGTGCCGTCCTTGCTGCCCTGGCTGCCCAGGAGGGCAGGGAGCAGGGCCCAGGGGAGGGAAGAGGGAGGAGGGAGGGAGCACCTGGCCCAGCATCAGGCAGGGGAAAGGAGTGGCTGGCAGAGCATCCTGGCATCAGGAGGGGACAAGGGGAGAGACGGGAGGAACAGAGTTTGGAGGCTTGAGGAGAAACAGGATAGGTGATGGGAAGGGGGCTAGCATTTATCGATCACCTTCTGTGTGCTGGGCCCTTTGCCGGTCACTTTATGTAAATCCGTGATTTTCTCCAATCCTCCCAACATCCACCATGAGGCCGGCATAGTCGCTCCAGATAACTATGTGATGCTTATAAGGTAAGTGATGCTCAAAGATAGTCATGAGTTGCCCAAGGACTTGCACAAGGACAATAAGTGGCTGAGCTGTGATTTGAACCCAGGTCTTTGTGAGTTTAGAATCATGCGCTTTCTACTTGACCAAGACAGGTGACGGGAACAGGGGAAGTGGGGAGGGGAGAGATGAAGACGGGATGGCTTATTCGGGGGATGGTGCCTCTTCTACAGGATGAGGTCAGACTCATCTCCGTGGTTCTTGGGTTCCTTGAGGCCTCTGCTTAGCCTCTGCCCTTTGCTGCCCTTTGCTGCCCTTCCCTAGAATTCCCTGGCTCCCTGGTGCCTCCACATCCTCCTGGTCTGCTGGGGCTGTGGGCAGGCCTGGAGGAGTGTGCTGAGGCAGAGGAGCCATGGGACAGGAGGGGAGCCACGTTGCACTGCACTAGTTGCGGGAAGGAGACCCCCCCAGATTGGGCAGACCCACGCTGAGGAAGGGCTCTGTGGAGAGCTACAGGATACTGCTTCCGCGGGACCCGGATGCCACTAATCTCCTGCACAGACTCGGCCCAGAGTTTGATTAGCTGGGCCTGGCTCTCCTGCTTACCCAACAGGCCGGCTGGCCAGAGGCCAGGCTGCAGTGGGGAGGCTCCCTGGCACCTCCTCCGGCTCTCACTCCCAGCTGGTAAACAGCAGAGCAGGAGCCAGCCACGCCTCAGCCTCGTGACTGCAGCCCACTCCTCCCCGGTGCACGTGGCATTTGGCGTGGAGAGGGCAGGCAGCTGTCCCTTCCCTCACCTGCCCTCCCACCTCACCATCCTGCGCTCGTGCCCCACCCTGGAAGCGCACGCTCCGCTACCATCAACACCTCCGTTCCTGGGTAGCTCCCAGAGACTCCAGAGGGCTGCAGCTTACGGGACAAAGGTTAGAAGTAGAAAAGGACTTTCCAGCTCCCAGGATGGTTGACAAGGGTGCAGGGAGTGAGGAAGAGTGGAGTGGAAACTTTTGGGGACCTTCCTGTACCGAGAGTCTGAGGGCGTGTGTCTGTTCGTCTGAGACTCTGATTATCCCCGTGTCCTTTTGGTAAATGCATGGCCCACGCGTCTGTGTATACTTCTCTGCACAGAACAGGATGTTGGTCTGTTTTGGGGCTCAGCCCCTTGGGCAAGCTTGGAGTAAGAAGTAAAGCTCTCTAAAGCACCACCCAGGCCAGTGCCCAGCAGACAAGTAGAGCCAGCAAGAGGCAGAGGGGCAGGGTGCAGGGGCTGCTGGGGCAGAGTGTTGCTCTGCTGTCCCCTTCCCTGCCCACGATTGGCTTTGCTTCCTCTCGGTATCCTCTCTCTGTGTCTCTGCCTGCCAACCCCTCCATGCCTATGGCTCTTCTGTTTTCTGTGCCTCGGTAGCTCATCCCTCTTTCTATTTTCTCCTCTTTCAGCCTCTCTTCCTCTGTGACTCTGGGTCCCTCAGAGTCCCTTCTTGACCTACCAAGCATGGGCATGGAATAGAGGCCGTGCAGAGCGCCTGGAGATGGGCACTTGGCCCTGGCATCGTGCCAGGCAGCCCTGCCCACCCCAGATACGGTAGGTCTGGCTGCCTCTCTCAGCCGTGCCACTTCGTGCCACTGTGTAAGGTGGGGAGGAAGTGACTGGTGGTTGGGAAGACAGGGTCCTGGCTCTAGGCCTAAGCTAGTCTCATGCTTCCCAGCGTATCTCTATGCCTTCCTTACCCTAAGCATGGATGGCTGGTGTTCTTTCTCCCTGGGGCAAGTAGGTACCCTGATCATCCTTTTGGGAAGTCCCCCCCTCATGCCTACACTTCCTCCCTTCTGCTCTAATCACAGATCCTTTTCTGGAGGAATCAGTCCTTTCAGAGCAGGGCAGTGGTTATTTCCTCCCCAAATACATTCTCACATTCTTATGCAAGGAAGAGGCTGATAGGGATCAGAGAATCAATTCACCCACCACGTGCCCAAGTTCCCTTATCAGGGGAATCTGAACGCCAGGGGCAAGCAGCCTGGGGGTGTGGAGGGTGGTGGTGGTGGCTTGGAACTGGGGAGCAGTCACCAACTTCTTCTTCCCTTCCTTTCCACCCCCTAGACCACAGAAACCACTTAAAGCTCATGCAAGCCTGCCCCTCCTGGGAGGGCCTGGGGTGTAAAGGTGGAAAGTTTGTGGGGCCTGGGCTGACTGTATGCTACATACCACCTCAGCTCCATCCTTCGAGGGCCACCTGCTCTGGGAGGCCTGATCCAGTGGTTAAGAGTACCTTCCTATGTGTCCTTTCTAAGAGGTCCATGCCTGGGGGAGACCTCAACCCACCGGAGGGACTCAGGGAGGGGGCACAGTCCCCTCAGCCATTAAAAAAAAGGACATCTCCGGCTCTATAAACATCTGTAGATCTCACAGTCACCACCCCTCCCCTTTCCTGTTACAAAGGCCACTGTGGGTGGAGGGACCAGTGGGAGTTTGACCTCAGCTCCTGGCCCTGAACTCTCCGTGTGACCCTGCCTGTGGCACTCATCTGTCAATTAACATCTGTGGTCATTTAGACTTGGACGTTGCAAGGAGGGTTGAAAAGCAGGAGCTCTGATTTTTGGAGCCGAAAGACGGGTAAGAACGTAGCCTACTATTAGTCCTCAATTACCACATTGTTAAAAAGGGGACAGTAATATCTGTCCAGACTTGTGTCTGTGAACATGCTTTGAGGCCAGAGCAGTCTGCACACAGGAGGGGTTCTTACGACCTTATTTGCCCCAGGGCATGCTTCTGTGGCTTTAGTTTAGCCTGGAAGTTCCTCCAGGGACATTGTGGTCCCCATGGGGGGGTGGGGAGGGGGAGGGTCACAGCTGTGGATACTGAGCAAACTGCTCCTGACTGGAGTGGACTTGAATTCTCACCTTGCGAGCCTCCTCTGAATGGCAGGTGAGGTAGGAGGTCTGGATGGAGCCACAGTCCTAAAACTTCCCTGCAGTCAGGGCTGATCCTCAGGCAAGTTTACTTAACCTCTCTGATCTATCTTCTCCTGTAAAATGGTAACAGTAGCCGCCTTACTGAGTGGTTGCAATGATTAACTGGCATAACAATAAAGTACAGAACCTACTGGTACAAAGTACTGTGGTTAAAAAGCAATGTTTCGGTCCCTCCCGCCCTCTTTCCATTCTTACAATCTTCCTTTCTTCTCTTTGTCTGACTCCCTTCCTAATCTCTCTCCTGCTTTATTTTTCTCTAGAACATATTACCAGGTGACGTTTCTACATTTTACTTATTCATTTTGTAAATTGTCTGATACCCGTGTCTGTTTTTTGTTTTGTTTTGTTTTGTTTTTTGCGGTACGCGGGCCTCTCACTGTTGTGGCCTCTCCGGTTGCGGAGCACAGGCTCTGGATGCGCAGGCTCAGCGGCCATAGCTCACAGGCCCAGCCGCTCCGTGGCATGTGGGATCTTCCCGGACCGGGGCACGAACCCGTGTCCCCTGCATCGGCAGGCGGACTCTCAACCACTGAGCCACCAGGGAAGCCCCCCGTGTCTGTTTTGATCACTGCTGTATCCAATGCCCAGAACCTCCTGGCCTTCCCTAAGTATTTGTTGAAGGACTGCATGAATGAAGGGTAAATGGCCTCTACTTCTCTTTCCAGCTACTTTCAAATGGGCGTCAAATCCAGTTACTCACCAAAGGTTGTTAGGGGAGGATTTGGGACTGAAGTAGGACAGTACTAGGGATGGAGCTGGATCTATGGGTGGACTTCACAGGCTGAAAAGATCGGAGAGCTGTCATCCTGGGGAAGGAAGTGACCTGACTGGGAAGTGGCAGCTGGCATTTAGGGATATTATAGTGAGGTGATTGAGAACCCAGAGTCTAAGGCCAGACTGTCTGGGTTTGAATCCTAGTCCTACCCCTCACTGGATGAGTAAAACCCAAGGTCACACTGGATAAAAATATTAGCAATAGTACTTAACCCTCAATGGGGTTGGTGGCAAGTTGTTGGAACGGTTCCTTGCATGGCGATTATCTTGGCGCAGCTGTTAGCACCTAATATTATTTGATCAATGCTACCATCTAGTGGACATCTGGAGCAAGATTTCCCTGGTCTGGGGGGTTGAGGGTGGGGTGGGGAGGGACCTAATCAGGGGAGGGAGAAGGAACCGAGGGGTGCTCTGAATGCAAGTGTGTGTGTGTGTGTGTGTGTGTGTGTGTGTGTGTGTGTGTGTGTGAGATGTTAGCATTACACATGCTGAGGTTTATCTAGATCCAGCAGGCAGGCTTGGCCCTGGTTAGGGCCACCGGGCAAAATGAGAAAGCGGGGAGGGAGAAAGAAAGAAGTTGGGTTGGCACAGCGCCTCCCTTCCTCCCTCCCTCTCCCCCTCCCTTCTTTCCTCCTCCAAGGCTGGCCTGAGCCAAGAGGAACCAGCTCCAGGGAAGGTGGGGGAGAGAGAAGAAGGTCACTGCTGACGTCAGGGACATTCAGGTAGGAGGTAAACACAATGTGACCTACATTTATCCATTTTCCACATTCTGCCCCTACTCACTGGGGTAGCGTTTTCTGGGCACCCCTGAGAACAGTTCTCACAGTCCAGTGGGACCCCCTCTTCCCCCAGGACCTCAATCCCTGGGACATTCTATCTTGGTCTTTCATTACCAAGCACTGTTCTAGCTCCTGGCTCCAGCTTTACCCCCAAGGGTGGCACAGGTGTGGAAGAGACAGGCAAGAGAGAGGACACCTAAAGGCATAGTGTGCTAGTCTTACATCCACTGACTCACTCCCAAGACACGGAAATTTCATGTCTCTTCAGAACAGATGGGGGGGTGGGTAGATGGGTGGGGTAGTGCTGTTTTCCCCTGTGCAGCCCCAAGGAACCCCCAGCGGAAGGTGGCTTTTGTTGGTTTCAGTCACAGAGTTTTTTTCTGGAGTGACTCAGTGATTGGAGGGCCCCCTGAAGGGGTAGGGACCTGGTTGAACAGGGAACCTAGAACCTACTCAGGCCAGACCTACTGAACTAGTGTCAGGGTCTCTCAGGAATGGAGCCCAGGATTCTTTCTGCATGTTTACCAAGCTCATCCAGGATTCCTGATGTCTGGTTATTGTGATGCTCATTCAAGTTTGAGAACCACTGCTTAAGGTCTGCTCCAAATCAGACAACTGAATGAGCTTTCTCCATCCCGTGTACGGCCAGGGCAGAGGGAGGAAGGTAGGCTGCAGATCTGAGAGCGTAGGGTGCCAACAAGTGGGAGAGATACCGCCAGAGACAAACAGATATTTTATTAGCAAAAATAAATACATGCCGGGCAGATGGAAAGAATGAGGACTGCAGACCCGCTGGAGACCTCCTGAGGAAGAGGCAGTCTCTCAGGCTACAGGCTGAGATGGGCAGGCGCCAGGGAGGCTCCGGGACCTAGCCCACCACGCAGGGTGGGCAGCAGGGCAATCAGGGACGTCTCACACTCCCCCAGCAGCACGTCCCTGCGGAAGCCTGCTCCCCTGTCCAGCACCTTGGCCCTCAGACTGTGGGCGGCCAGGTCAGGCGGGCCGAGCCCGTCGAAGAAAAAGTCCTCATTGAAGATGGGGTTGGCGCTGCGTTTGACCACGCGGCTCCGCAGGCCCCGCGCCCGGGCGCGCGGCCGCAGCCTCAGCACCACGCAGCAGCCGCCGCCGCCGCTCCCGGGGCCGGCCCGCGACCCGGGCAGGCCCTCGGCGCTCACCAGGCGCAGCCGCAGCCGCCCGGGCCAGGCCTGGTACTCGGCGGATAGCCGCAGCTGCCCGCCCAGGGGCTCGAGGCGCAGCACGCTCTCCTTGGCCGGCCGCAGCTGGCGGCACAAGAAGTCGAGGTGGAAGAGCGGCGGCGTGGGCGGCCCCGCTCGGCGCGGCGCGTACGGGCTGGTGTCGGCCGAGCTCGCCTCCTCTGGGGACAGCGAGCGCGGCCTGGGCGGCCGGGGCCGGCCGGGGCCTGGCCGCGGCGAGCCAAAGGGCGACGAGTCGGGCGACGAGGCCGTGTCGCTGTCGGGGGCCCGGCAGAGGCGCAGGTCCGGGGAGGAGACGTGCAGCCTGAACTGCGCAGGGGGCAGCCCCCCGGCCGGGGCGGGCGGCGGCGAGTGGAACAGGGACTCGCGCCGGCGCGTGTGTGGGCTCTCGGGCAGGAAGGCCCAACCTTCGCGGCCTGCCAAGTGCGGCAGCGAACAGGCCTCGGGGAGGCCGCGCCCGTCCACGTCGCGCCCGCTGAGGGGCTCGGCGCCGCCTGGGTCGGGGAGCCGAGGCGGGATGAAGAACTGCGGAATGCGATCGGGGGTGAGGACGTTGGGGCAGGCGCGAGCCAGCGGGCACGGGGTGCGGCGCTTAGGAAACAGGCCGGAGGGCGCCCACCGGGCCCTGGGCTCCGCGGCCCCCACCCAGTAGCCAGCTTTCTCCAAGAGCCACATGCGGTGGGGTGGGGGGGCTGAAAGTCCGAGTTCCACGAGGCCGAGAGGGTCCAAACCCAGCGTCTCAGGTGGAGGCCTGTACAAGGAAAGAAGGAAAGCCCAAGGTGGGTGATGCTGCAAACGAGCATCTGGTCTGCCGCCGTGCCCTTCTTTACGGGCCCACGGGGTGCACAAGCCCCTGTTTGAGCGGGGTGGGGGGAGGATGGGGAGGGACAAAGGGCGGCAAAGTCGGGGGGTCCAGGGAGAAATAGAGGGAGCCCAGGGCTAGACAGTAACATTTTCGGATCAGGCCTCGGACATCCGAGTACACAGGCTCTCCCATTGCTCCCGCTGGTACTGAAGATGTACACCCACTTCAGAGTTAGAAGGCCTTACACACCCACTAGGAGAATAGAGTAACACCCTCATTAACAAAAGGTCTGTAGCCGCAGACACCGACCCGTGTTCGGAACCCCCGCTCCTATACACTCTCCCCCTGAAGAGACACCGCGGCCCTTGGAGGGTTCACCCCCTTCTCTCATGCCCAATCCAGAAGACTAAGGCTCTCCTCCAGTGTCTGATCTGGCGCCCCTTGGGACTACCCCCCTTTCCCCAGCACCCCATCCCCGCAGGCTGCATTCCCGGGCGGCACCGCAAGCTTCTCCAGGCTGAGCCATCCTTCGGCCCTAGCCACACCTGCCTCCTCTCGCGCCTCCTTCGCCTTCCCGAGCCGTTCCAGGCCAGAAGCAGACTCGCTGCACACTTGGCTGCTGCTGCCCTGCGAGCGAGCACTTAGGGCCGGTTCAAGGAGACGCACCTCTCGGGAGCACAGAATGCCACCCCTCCTAAAGCCCTGACTGTCCCGCTCCCTGCGTCCCAGCCCTACCGCATCCCGAGTTCTGCCGCGAGGGCCCAGCCGTTGGGCCGCCCCTCCCACTCCCCACTCCCTTTCTCCCTAGGAAACCAGTGAGCACAAAGACAGCATTGATCCTCTGCCACCCCCTGAGCTGACTCCGGGAGGCCCCGCCGCCAGCGCGCGCTTACCGCACCCCCTCGCCGCACCTCAGGGAGCGCGAGGTTCCGACTTTCTGCCTGGGAGTCTGAGCCCACGGCAGCAGGCTCGGTCAGGCGCCCAGAGTGCAGGCCTCACTGGTGGGCCGCCTCTGGGTCCTGGCCTCTGGCCAGGAGGCGTTCAGAGCCCCGGGGTGGGGGAGCAGCTTCCTCTCCAGCTTGCTACCCCAGTCCAGTCCCGGGAGGAGCTGGCAGGGGCCTCCGTTGCCTACGTACAACCTCTTTTCCTGGATAAACACAGCTCTGTCTTTGCGGCCGTCAGCCCGGCCTTCTTAACTCCTCCCTTCAGGTTGCTAGCAGCAGGCCAGCCCTGTGCCCTGGGGCCTTCTCTGCTGGGCCCTGGCTGCTTGGGAGTTGGGGAGGGCTGCAGTGAAAAGGGAGACAGCCATTAGTGGGCAGTGGCCTCCATCCCTTAATGCTACGCTGGCCCCACCCAGCCCTCCTAGGTGAAAGCCACAGGCACTGCGACACAAATGGTAACTTCTGCAAAGCCCTCCTTGCTGGAATCCTGCCTTGGCCCCCGTTGTTCAGTTCTGGAGACATCCCAGTTGCTCCCAGACAGAGTGATTTGTAGTGACTGGTTCTCTCAATTACACTGGACCAGGGAAAAGGGACCAAGCTTGAAATTTCTGGACATAGAGACACTGAGGACAGAGCTGTTTCCATCAGTGAGTCAAGGTCAGGCTGTGTCCACCCACCCCCCCCATCCTTGTCAGAAGTGTGTTAAACTGTAAACATGGAGGATGTCTCCCCCTTCCTTCCCCTCCTTGAAGGCAGATCCTAGGAGACACAGGCCACCACTGACAAGATGAGACCATCAATTGTATTCCAGGCACACTCACTATCCTTCATTCACTCCTTAGGATGTTTGCATAAGCTACTTCCTCTTCTAGGACCACTTCCCCTTCACCCTTCAGATCTGGAGGCCCTCACTGACATGCTCCCGTTGAAATTAGGGGGTTCTCTTGTCTACTTTCACAGCATCCCATACTTTTCCTTTATGGTACTGTTCACAGTTTTGTTTTGTTCTTTTCTGTGATTTATTTCTGTGATTATTTAATGTCCTCCTCCCTTAGCAGACTGTAAGCATCACAAAGACAGTGCTTAGAACAAGGCAGGTGCTCAAGCAGGATTGTTGAATGGATGAATGATATTAAGCAGAATTGTGTCTGAATTAGTTCATTTATCCCTTCATGGTGCTAGGTGCTGGGGAGACACAGAATGGGGAAGCAGACAGGCAATAACGACAGCAACAAGACAAATTGTGAAACTCAGGAAACAAGATGACTATTCTGACATCTGACACTTGAGGGTTTGGGGGGAGCAAATGTTTCTTTTGTGGAGATCCCTGGTGGCACGCAGACCCTCCAGTCCTGTGGCTGCTGACTCAGCTCAGCCCTGGTGTCATTTCTGGGGAGGGTGGTCTGTGTGGAGTGCTGCAGCTGAGAACTCACAGCTGTGGCATCAGTCAGGTGGGTCGGGGATCTGAGCTCTGGGACTTACCAGCTGTGTGACCTCTGGCCTGTAACTTAATCTCTCTGGGGTTCACCTTTCCCATCTGAAAAATGGAGAGAAAATACCTAACTCTCAGAGTTGGCATGAAGATTAAATAAGCTCACACATGCGCATCAGTTAGGCTGACTTCTGCTAAAAGTACATGAAAAGAGAAACCCCACTTCAATCTGACTTGACAATAAGGACATTTTTGTCTTCTGTGATAAGCAGTCCAGAGGAAGGGTAGGATTTAAGGAAGTTTGATTCTGTGGCTTCATTCATTCGTTCATTCATCCATAGTTATTGACTACCTACTATGTGCCAGGCACTGTATACTGCACTCTGGGGATATAGCAGTGAGAAAACAGAGAAATCTTCTGGCTAGATACTTTAGTGGGGGAAGAAAGACCACAGACAAAAATAACTGAGGAAAAACTACAGTTTATTAGATGGAAATCACTGTTGGGGAAAAAATTAAATTAGGGGAGGATCATAGAGGGTGTCAGGAGAGCACGCAATTTTACATAGTGTGGTCAAAGATGGCCACCTTGAGAATGTAACATTTCAATAGTGATATGAAGGAAGGAGGAAGGATATCTGAGGGAAAAGCATTCTAGGCAGAAGCAATGGAAATGCAAAGGCCCTGAGGCAGAAGTATGCCCGGAGTGTTCAAGGAGGCGAAGAGGCCAGTGTAGCTGGAACAGAAGGAGTGATGGGGAAGTGAGGTCAGAGAGAGCGGGGCCAGACTCTTTGGGGGCTTGTAGCATTTGTAACAATTTTAGCTTCTTCTTGTGGTGAGCTGAGGAGTGATATGACTTGACTTATGCATTAAAAGGGTTGCTGTGGTGGCTGCATTGATAATAGAATAAAAGGGGTAAGGCTGTAAGTAGGGAACTCATATAGGAGAATATTGAAATAATCTTGGCACAAGATGATTGGGGCATGGATCTGTGTTGCGGTAGTCAGTTTCTGGTTATATTCTGTAGATAGAGTCAGTAGGATTCCCTGATGGATCCATCCCCATTTAAGAGAAAGAATTATCCAAAGTTCTTGGCCTAAGCAACTGGAAGAATGGAGTTGCCATTTACTGAGAGGAGGAAATATCAGGGGCTCAGTTTTAGATCTATTAAACGAGGAGATGTCTGTTAGACATCTAGATGGAGATGTTGAGCAAGCAGTTGGATATATGAATCCGGAGCTCAGAGGAGAGGCCCAGACTGGAAGTATAAATGTGGGCACCAAGAGAAATGTAGATGGAATTTAAAGTCACAAGATTTGATGAACTGAAGGTAGAAAAGAAAAAGGATCCAAAGACCGAGTCCTGAGGGCCCAACAGTTAGAGTGGGAGAGGAGGAGGAACCAGCTGTGCCAGATGCTGTGGGAAGGTCCGATAAAATAAGGACTGAGAGTTGACCATTAGATTTAGCCCTGCAGAGTCATTAGTGACTTTGCCAAGACCAGTTTCGATGGAGTGGTGAAGGCAAAAGCCTGATTGGAGTGGGCTTGAGAAAGAATAGAAGGAAGAGAGCAAAGACAACTCTCTGGAAGAGTTCGCTAAAAGAGTAGGGAGAAGTGGGGCAGTGGCCAGAGAGGGAGTAGCATCAAGAGAAAAAAATTTAAATGACAGAAATATGGTATGTTTGCTGATGGGAAAAATCAAATAGAAGAGGAAAACTGATAATGCAGAAGAGAGAAAGGAGAATATTTGGAGCAATATTGCCAAGTAGACTAGAAGAAATAGGTCTCATGCACAAGAAACAGAGCTAAGGGTGGCCCCCTGCCTGCTGTGTGAACAGTTCACCCACAGTTACTGGAGGGGAAGTAGAATAAATTGGTAGAGGTAGTAGGTGGAGAGGTGTGGTAGTGGGAGCTTGCTCTTTCTGAACACTTCTGATTTCTCAGTGAAACAGGAAGCAAGGTCTTTAGCTGAGAGTGATGATGGGGGAGGAGGTGGTGCTAGGCATTTGAGTAGAGAGGACCAGGAAAGAAACAGTCGCCTAGGAAAGCAGGAGAGTGAATGATCTAGGAAACTGCAGGATGACTGCAGGGCAGTATTACGGGCCCACTTTAGGATAACGATCTAGGCTTTAAAGTGAGACCGGACAGCAAGGTTGTGTGGGTTTTCTCCAGCTGTGTTCAGCTGTGCAGTGCGCTGGGGAAAAATGGGCAGAGATTTGGATTTAGCCAGGGTTATGCTCAATCTTTGACAGTTCATTTTCCTCCTTTCTCTTGCCTTCCATTTCCTTCTCTTGGTGGATATTAAATTAAGGATGCACACAAGGGTGTACAGCAGTGGGATTGAAAACTGACCGCAGATAATCCACAACCTGGCTGTGTTAGTTGGGGTCTGGTGAGGAAAACAGCAGTTGTTAGATGGTTCAACAGAGGGAGTTTGACACAGGGAATTTGTTACCAAGGTGGTGGAAGAACACAAAAGGCAAATAGGAAGATGAGGGCTGTCTAGCAGGATCTGTAACCATGGAGACACAGCCACTACTTGAGTTGCCTCCCAAAACAGAGAAGGGGAGAAATACCCTGACATCTCCTTACTTCCCACCTTCCAGTCTTCCACCAGCCTTCCAAAGCCAGATGACAAAGGAGACTGGGAAATGTATATTGCAGGCACTAGCCCTCTGCAGTCTAAGGCAGAGTAGGGGAAGGGTGGGGATCTGAGAGCCATCAAGCAAATGACTGACACACTGGGTAGCCAAACAATAAGACATCAGACCAGGAACTTGGAGATCACCTCATCTACTCTTTAGTTTTTACAGAGCAGGAAACAGACCCAAAGAGAAATGATGGCCGAACAGTAGCAGAGTTGAGACTAGAACCCAGATCTTCTATCTTAAAGAGCATGGTTCTTTCTTGTACCCCAGGGGTCTTCATAATTGAGCAGAGCTTCTCCCTTGAATGAGGGCCCAGGGTGTGGCCTCCGCACCTCTTCCAGCACCATTGCTGCCACTCAAGAACTATGTAGGTGGGCTTCCCTGGTGGCGCAGTGGTTTAAGAATCTGCCTGCCAATGCAGGGGACACGGGTTTGAGCCCTGGTCTGGGAAGATCCCACATGCCGCAGAGCAACTAAGCCCGAGCGTCACAACTACTGAGCCTGCGCTCTACAGCCGCAAGCCACAACTACTGAGCCCGCGTGCCACGACTACTGAAGCCCACGCGCCTAGAGCCCGTGCTCTCAAACAAGAGAAGCCACCGCAGTGAGAAGCCCGTGCACTGAAACGAAGAGTAGCGCCCACTCGCTGCAACTAGAGAAAGCCTGCGTGCAGCAACGAAGACCCAATGCAGCCAAAAATAAATAAATAAAATAAATTTATTTTTAAAAAAAAGAAAAGGAAAAAGAACTATGTAGATGACCCAGGGCCTTGACCTCCTTTTTCTCGTCAGTGCCACTGTAGAGGGACACTTAGAGGACTGGGCAGTACAGAGTGCTTTCCTGGGTTCAAGCCAGATGAAGAGACACAGAGGGGACAGACCTTTCCTCCAGGTCAGCAGACAACTGCTACAAGACTCCCTGGGCTTTTCGGCTAAATTGTCCTGTGTCCTTGAGCGGTGGCCTCAGGCAGCATGACTTGGCCACCAATGCTCACTGTAGGTGCTAGCAGGTGATAGGGTTGGTGATATACTGTGTCTTGCAGCTCTGGCTCCTCACCCAGGACCCATGATAAATGACCTAACTCTGTGGTCTTAGTTTCAGGAAGACCTTAGGGGCCCCTTTTTTAAGAGCTGGTATGAACTATTGGTGTCCCTTGCCGTCTGGAACTGGTTGGTCTTACAATTGCCTTATTCACTCTTTGGTTTCTCTTGGCACTTGATTCAGACGTTTGGAGAACACATATCCTTCAAGCAGAATAAGCTGATTCGAGCAGAATAACCTGCCACATTTGCCTGGATGGCCTGTTGGATTCCACCCCATCTGCCTATGTAGTAGCTGTAATTCCAATGAATGCACTACACATGGAATTGGTTTTTAAAGTGTGGAGGCAGAAACTCCCCTTGTTTCTGCCTAGAAAGCTGCAATACTTGGCCTCCTGGGAGAAGAGAGGCATCTGTCAAAGCCCTCGACACTAAGAGAAGTATTCCAGCAGCTGATGACCTCATTCCCCTTACCAAGATCCCTGCCTGCCCACTTGGCCTTCTCCAGTCAAGGCTGACACTCCCAGCCTGGCTGTGGGGCCTTGCCTGAGAGCCTCCTACCTCTGTAGATTTCCAGCTTTTGCCTGTTTCTGTTAGAAGCTGGCCCCAGTAGAGAAGTGACAGTGTGCATCCAACCTCTGCCATCCTCAACACATGACTTCCAAAGTCATCCTGGGTGTTGACATCCAGTTTCCAGACGAGAGAAGAGAGAAGCAAGCTGTACTTGAGTTTCCAAGTACCACTGTTTCGGTTTCCTTCGTTTACTTGACTGCATAGGAAGGATAGAATATATTTCCCTTCTTCTCTTGGGAGTGTTTAAATGAAGATTAGGTCCTTTTTGACCGTGAATAAAGGACAATATGTTTTTGGTATACACTGATTTAGACTCTGGGCTTAATAGGTTATCAAAGGCAATCGTGAAAGCACAGGAGAAAGAGTTTTTATGTGAGTATATGGGGGAGGGCATAGTTGGCTGCCACAAGATTTCTTGTTACGGCCTCTAGTAAGTCTCCCGTTTTTGGAGGGCACTGGATCAAGTGCCTTCAAATCCACGTCAACCAATCTTTTGCTCGTTATTGAAGACAGATGGCTTAGGAAGTGTGTGGTCTAGTTACTAGAAAGAGAACCTGATCCACCCACCTCTCCACCACTGCTGAATTTGGGTCCAACTCTCTGACCCTGTTCCATGCCACAAAAACTTCCTTCTCTCTGATCCCCTGAATCCCCAGCCCTAGTCTCAGGTCCTGGAATCTTAGCTGAGGCCTGAACTTGAATTCTTCACTTGTCAGGATGAGGGTTTGGACACAGACCCATCCCTCCTCTGCCTATCCTCCTTTCAAACTGAGGCAGTGGCTGCTAGCTACTTACCAAACCTATTTCTCTTTCTTCTACAACATAGAGTTACATCATATTTTCCAGTCAACCTCCCTTGCAGTTTGGTACGGTCTTGTGACAGAGGAAACACTTTGAAGTTTGGCCCCCTAAACCTCCCTTGTTATTCTCTCTTCTGGCAACTGGATGTCAACACCCAGGCTGACTTTGGAAATCATGTGTTGAATCATGCTTGTCAGTCAGGTTCCTGAATGACTGCTAGACACCAAAAATTGGACTTTGTGTGAGTGAAAAGTACAGTCTATTTAAGATACAGGTTAGATTATGGAGATGTAAAGGTTTATCTGTCTCAGCACTTGGCATTACCATACCTAATAATAAAATCCTTTATGACATGTCACTTGGAGCTCTCATTCTTTGGTAAAACTCCTCTAATCTTTGACCTCTCCCTGGACATCCCCTCCACCTACTGGGCTTGATGGAATCCTGCCTGTCCCTGTGGAAGCTGCTCAGTTTCCCACCCCTGTCCTCTGCAGGCCCAGAGGAGGTACAGTCTTCTCCTGGATGGCCATTGCCTCCTCCAGTCCATTGTTCTTCCCCCTCACATCAAACCTTTCCTCCTTAGAAATGTGCACCCCTTCCTCTGGACCTCTTTCCCCACTGATGGCCTTGCCTCCTATTTCACTGAGGAAGTCGAGGTGCTCTGGCATAGACCCCGGCAACTTTCCATCCTGCTCTGCACGCCCCACTTCTTCCTTTTGGTCTCAGAGTCATGTTGATGCTGTCCCGTGACTCCTGTCTCCACTGTGCTCTTGATCCATCTCTAAGACCATAGAGCTGTTCTGTTGGAGGACACCTCTCTCTCTCCTAGGGTTTCAGCCTCTCTCCACTGGCTCCTTCCAAAACAATTTATAAATATACTCAAATCTCTCTCTTTAAATAACATAACAGCGACAACAACAACAAAATTCCTAGAAAGAGTCATCTAGCTCCACTCTGTCGTTCCCATTCAGTTTTTCATCCACCATAATCTGGATTTTGTTCCCACCTCCTGGCAAAGAAGACCACCACCTTCCTCTCTGCCAAGTCCAAAGGCCTCTTTTTAGTTCCCATCTGCCTTGCCTTCTATTTAGCATTTGATACTGTTGACCTCGCCTTCTTAAGGATGGTCCATCCTGTCCTATTCTTAGCTTCCTTAGTGGGTTTTTTTTTTTTTTTTTTTTTTTTTTTTTGTGGTACGCGGGCCTCTCACTGTCGTGGCCTCTCCCATTGCGGAGCACAGGCTCTGGACTCACAGGCTCAGCGGCCATGGCTCACGGGCCCAGCCGCTCCGCGGCATGTGGGATCTTCCCGGACCGGGGCACAAACCCGCGTCCCCTGCATCGGCAGGCGGACTCTCAACCACTGCGCCACCAGGGAAGCCCCCTTAGTGGGTGTTTGATTCTCTGCCCCAGCTTTAAGCCTTAATGTGACCAAAGGTTCTGTCTTTGACCCCTTTCCCTGTCCTTCCTTTCTCTCCCATCCTGTCACTTTCACACCCCTTGCCTCCTCTTCACTTTCATTCTGCATAATCCACTCCCAGGGATTCCATGTCAGTTTTGATACTGATGACTTACAAATCGAGTCAGTATGTCATCAGTTCTGAGTTCCAGATTACAATATCCAGGCTCCTGCTGGGGATCACCATGCGATGGGGGTTCCATGGGGTTCCATGCGTGTGAAACTGAGCTCATTATCTTCCCCCACCTCAAACCTGCTCCCCTGTATTCCCAATGATGCCACCTGGAACCACCAAGCTGGAAACTTGGAGTCATCTTTGAAGGCTCCCCTTCACAGATCCACTACATACAATTAGTGGCAAAGTTCTGTACTCTTTTGTTTGCAACATATTCCATATCTCTCATCTTCATGGCTTTGAACCATATCAGGTCCTTCCTATCTCTAGTTTGGAGCCCTGCAAGGGTCTCCTAACCAGTGCTCCCACCTTCAGTCTTGCTGACCTCTTATTGCCACCAGAGTCATCTTTTGAAAAAACAAAACTTTATGTCACTCCCAAACACTTTAAAGGCTCCCTATTGCCTACAAGACACAGTTCAAGCTCCATTGCAGGGTTTAAGGAGCCTTCCATGGCCTGCACCTGCCCTGACCCCTTCTCTTTCCCTAAACTCCTGCCCCACTCAACACCTTGCTGTTCTCCAAAGTTGCTGTGCTCTTTCATCCCTTAGTGACTTTGCTCACAATAGTCCCTCTGTTTGGAATAGTCCCCTGCTTGCCTGGTGGATACCACTTAACTTCTGAGACTCCGTTCAAGCACAGCTTCCTCTAGAAAGCCTTCTTTGATCGCTTTCCTAGAGTAAAATTGACCGTCCCCCTCCCTCTGTGTCTGCACTGCACCCATAACCAGAGCCACGGTGGGGTGGGAGGAGCTGATGGGGCACTCTGCTCCCGGCCCACAGTTGTGCATCTCGAGGCCAGGGGCCCTGTCATTCATCGCTGTGTGCTTGGTGCCTCACCCAGTGCCTGGTCCCTGGCAGATCTCAGTACACCGCTTCTATTGGTGCTGGATGGGAAGGTGGGTATGTGGAAGGCCCTGGAAGGATTTTCATTTCCAACTGCAGAAGGGTCTTGGACTGCGAACGGGGCTGTGAGACTTTATTTATGCAAAGGAAAGTGCCTTCTCCCTCACTTCACCAGTTACTTCCCGGACACCCCCCGCTGCTCTGGAGTGTGTCCCAGGTAGGCAAGGCGGTTGGCAGTAGGCTCTCCTGAAGGCACAGCGTGTAGTATTGAGATGAATCCTCTTCCAGCTGCAGCTGGAAGAAAGTACCTGCCAGAGAAGGGGGAGCCACGTGGCAGGAGCCAGAGCACGGATGGTAGGAGCTTGATGGGTTGGTTGCTCAGAGCACGTGCACCCAGTTACTCAGTACCTGGGTCCTCTCCTGTGATACAGGTTGGGCCACTCATACATAGAAAAAAAAACCCTAGTTGGGTTTTCCCTCACTTTGTCTGTGTCTCCTGCAAGTACCCAACCCCACTCTAAAAAGCTGGACCCCGGCTTGGGACTGGATCCTTAACATTCCCCTTCTGTTTGTTCTGGGTGTCGGGGTGGCAGGACAGGGCCTGGGGCTGAGGCTCTCTCTACCTGAAGCTTTGGTGTAAATGGTCTGCTGGTCCGTGCTCTGGGCGACGCAGGATATGTAAAGCTTCTGGTCCTCAACCTTTTCCATGCCAACGTTCAGCACAGCCAGAGAGCCCATACGGATCAAGCTGGGAGAGGAGGCGGCTTAGCCCCTCCCTCACATGAACCCCTGGCCGCCATCCCTTTACCTCTCTGTCCCCCCATCCTTCTCTTCATCCCGCCCTGCCTCAAGGACTAAAGTGGTTCTGGGCTCAGGGCCCATCTGCCAGCGACCAGAATCTGACAGCAGAGGTTGCATTCCGGCCGGGAACCAGAGGACCGTGTGGCTGGGGAAGGAGAGTGACAGGCAGGACTTCTACACCTCAACTGCCACGCATGGCTGTCCCCTCAACGGCCAACACCCCAAGGATCCGTACTTACTTTTTGAACCTGATGTTGAGATTGTGTGTGAACAGCCCCTCTCCAGCCAGGTAAGCAGTTTTAGAGAAGGTCTCGTCTATCATGGCTGCCAGTGACCCTCCGTGGGCAAACCTAGTGGTGGGGGCAGGGGGCAAGGCCAGGGCTGGAACAACCCCACCTCCATCTTTCCCCAGGAATGGAAAGGAAACAGATCTGGATCCCGTCTGATCAAACCAGTCAAAATCAGCTGATTTGTCTTCCATGTCGCTACAGCATGTGTTAGCAACCACTGATACCATGATTTTATTTCACCGGGAAAAAACTTTTTTTGTTGTTAGAGTTAATGGAAAAACCTTTTTCAGATTCATCAGCTAATTACTGGCGGCAACTACCATAATTTGGAAAGGTGCACTCCTACAGGGAATGATAAAGCCCCTGAACTTTTGGGCTTTAGTCTCTAAACCATGACCTTGGGCCAGCTCTCACCTCACTAGTCACTATGGCCAGTGTTGAGCCCACATTTTCAAGATGGGTAAACGTGGAACTTAACTTAGGACCTATAAAGTGCTGACGAGATAGACCCCCGAGCAGTGCTGCCGGTGGAAAGCCGAGAGCCGGCTTCAACAGGATGATGCCAACACTTGCTTTGTGTATATCACATAAAACTCTCATTCTCACTTGTGTAAGCTGACCTTCATGCCAAAGCTCCATTGCTGGTTAAGCTGGGGACAATAGAAAGGCACCCAGCTGGGGGCCATGCAACCACACCCACCTGGTTTGACTCCTTGCCTCCACGTTCACTACATGTTTGATCTTGTGTAAGTTGCTAAACCTTTCTGAGCTTTAGTTTTCTCAGTGTGAATTGTGAGTAAAAATAATTTCTATCTCATCAGATCAAATGAGGTAATGTTTACAAAACCTCATGTACGCTTCTAGTCACCTCCCTTCTCCTATTGCTTGAAGGAGGGGAAGAGTTGTTGCCAAAGAACCCTAAGCCTGCTCTTCCCTCGTTGTCCTCACTGGCCAGGCAGGAGACCCATCCGCAAGTGTGTAGGTGCTTCAGGGTAGCTCTTGGTCAGCCAGGAGCCTACCCAGCCTCATTGCCTAGGGGCTGGGTGGGTACTTGTCAAGATAATAGAAAATACATATATTGGTCTCTGTCCTTGATTCCTGGCACAGAGCTCCTGAAACCCTCTATTTCCTGGGTGATAGGAGTGTCTTTTCTAATGAGGCAACTCCCGGCTGGCTCCTGGTTGAGAGCTGGTCACCAGAAAGACCAAGCCATGATTGGAAGCTTGGAATTTTCAGCCCTGCCCCCCGCCCCTCCCCCAATTCTCTTGAGAAGAGAGAAGGGCTGAAAATGGAGTTAATGATTGATCATACCTATGTGTTGAAGCCTCCATAATAATTCCAATTAGTATGGGTCTCAGAGAGCTTCCAGGTTGGCGAACACATCCACACTAGAAGAGTGGCGCACCCCAACACCGCAGGGACGGGAGCTCCTGCGCTTGGGATTCTCCCAGACCTTACCTTATGGGTTTCTTCCACCTGGATGTTCATCCTTTAGCATATCTTTAATAAACTGGTAACTATAAGTGTTTCTCTGAGTTCTGTGAGTGGTTCTAGTAAATTAATCCAACCACAGGAGAGGGTTCTGGGAACCACCAACTGTAGCCAAATCAGACAGAAGTTGTGGGTAACCTGGGGACCTACACTTGCCATTGGCATCTGAAGAAGGGTGGGAGCTGTCTTGTGGGACTGAGACTTTAACCTGTGGGATCTCTAGGTAGACAGTGTCAGAATGGAGTTAAATTGTAGGACACCCAGCTGGCGTCACAGAGCATTGCTTGTTGTGGGGAAAAATCTGCGAACATTTGGTGACCAGAAGTGTCGGAAGGGAAGTGTTCTATATGAGGGTAAAGGAGACTCACAGGAAAGACAGACGTAGCAGGGAAGAACTGGGTTTTTCCTTACCCAGGAGATAGACTGAACTGGGTTTTTCTAATTTGGTGCTCATTTCTTCTCTGGACCCCCTCAGTCCTCTGGCCTCAGTGTTGGGTGGTCCTCTTCTGACTCCACGGCCCCACCTCCATGAGGCCCTAAATAAAGTCAGCCACACTCCATCCTATCCCTGCCTTCTTGGGGGTGTCCCTCTTCAGAAGGGAGGGGACCCATGGCCTGGGTAGAGCTCTGACCTAGTCCCCCGGTGTCTGCCCGCACTAGTGTGGAAATCAGTGTCCCCATGGAAGATACCTTAAGGATGGCCAAGGTGACAAAGGGCTGCAGTCTGAATCCATGGCCTGTAGAGGTGCTGACATCTATCAAGCTCTTTGAGTTCTGTTTAACTGCAACGGAGTCTCTCTCAGGCCCTGGGACCCTAAAGCGTCTCCTCCCCCTCCTCCCTCTTCTCCCTTGCAGGAATTCTGAAACCAACGATAGCATTCAGTGAGGGTCTAAAGCAGGAACAAGGATGGAGAGGCAGACGCCCGTGGGCACAGCGGCCCAGTATTCTCGGGCAAGAAGCTCGGGGCCAGCCTGATTCCCCTCGTGAATGTATTTATGTCCAGTGTGAGTTCTTTCCTGGGTCTATCGCCAGTTTGGAGGCAATGGAGTACAGTGGGAGAAGCAATGGACTTGGAGTCCCAGCTCCTGGATTAGAGACCTGGTCCTGACCTGGATGGCCTGTGCTACCTTGGGCAAGATGACGTACCTCTGTGTGCCTCGGTTTGCCCATGGATAGAAGGTGAAGTTTGGATAGATGGCCTGATAGCTATATTGTGCTTTATGGTTTATGAGCACATACCTATAGGCCCATAATATCATATCTATCAGCTATTCTGGAAGGTAGATATTATTGCACCGAGATTTAGGTAAGGAGACCGAAGGCTGGAGGTTAACTTGCTTGCTCGGGATCTCCAAGCAAGCCTGACAGAGCAGGACTGGGAGCCTGGCTCCTAATTCCAGATCCTGTCTTCTTCCAAGTCCAACACATCCTTCTCGAAGTGGCTTCTAAGACCCCTTCTTACTGGAAAATTCCCAGACCTGAATAAGGAGGCTCTTTTTTATCTGCACAGTGGGGACTGGACCAGATGACAGAATATCCTTCCAAGTCTGTGAGACTGGAGCCCAGAGCTTCCCACTCCCAACCCAGCTCCTTAGAGAGAGGTACAGACCCCAGAGCCTGGTTGCACCCAATCCATCTCCTGAGCCAAGCCCAGGAAGCAGCCAAAGATGTCCCCCACTGGGCCTGCCTGTGGCCTTACCCTGGGGGCCCCTCCAGGTAGGGGCCTGGTTGGAAAAGACAGACAGACTTCTTCTTGGATGGGTGGAAAAAGATGACATACTCGTAGCCTTGTCCTTCCGTTTCGATACACCTGGTGAAGATGTGACAGTCACTTTTGTCTGGGGAGAGATGGGGAGTGACAGCTGAAGAAAGGAGTGTGTGAGGGCATGGGGCCCAGTGAGGATGAAGGGCCAGTCGTTTAGCAGCATGGATGGAGCCTGGCCTCAGGTATAGGGTTGAGGAGAGAACCAGAGGACATACAGGCTCTGCTCTCAGGGAACCTTCAATTGGAGAGCAAGGTACGGACCTGTCCTCAGGGCCCTCGGTCTGAGGGGGACACAGCCCTGTCCTCAGGGAGCCCTGAGTCTGTGGGGACACAGCCCTGTCCTCAGGGAGCCCTGAGTCTGTGGGGACACAGCCCTGTCCTCAGGGAGCCCTGGGTCTTGAGGAAGAAACACCCATGAAGTTCCCTGGCTGAGAATAGATGTAGGGTCGGGGCAGGTCAGACTTTAAGAGACCTTAAACATTGAAAATTAAAGTGTACGGCATTTAATTCACATATAATTCAAAATAACCATACTGAACAGAAAAATAAGTGCAGAAGAGGCCCCCAAAGTTCTGATTATTTTTCTCAAGGCGACTATAAGAACTATATCCTTTTTGGATGGAATCCAAAGTCTTCCAAAAATTTTGGTGCACCTGCTTTGTTTTTTCCCTAAACCCAATGTACCACCCATTCATCACTGGGCTGGAAGAACACATATGTGAATGAGAGAGACAAGTTAACACACACGCGTGCTCACACACACGCACACGCAGAGAGATCAAAGTGGAAAACTCTATCACTCGGATCCATGGGTGTTTCGGGAGAGCCTCTGGGCCTAGCAGAGCAGGGATGGTGTGCGGAGGTCTGCAGTGGTCAAGGGAGAGTCCTCAGACCTTTGTGGGGTGGGCAGGAGGACTTGGGATAAGGCTTGAGAGTAAGGGAAGCAGCCCTGGTGAGAAGGCAGCGGGGCAGGGGGCTGAGTCAGCAGTTCTCCAGTGGGTGCACTCTGGGCTGGGAGCAGAGGTAGCTGCTAGGGTGTGCTCTCTTCCCCTGGGAGGAGGGGAGCCAGGGGCCTGAGAAGATGCTTTTCTCATCCACCTGCCTGGGGCTGCAGCGGGAGGGGCGGAGTTAGCAGAAAAAACTTCTGGCCGAGAACTGGCACAGAGCTTGTGAATTTCCTTTTTGAGCGACTCTGACCACAGGGAAGGGGGCTGGCTGATCTGACCCTGGTGGGCTGGGGTGCATGTGTGCCAATGGGCCCTCTGCGCCCAGGCCTTACCTGAGGAAACTGTTAACACTAATGGGAGCTTGAGCCCCTGGATGTGGTTTCTGTTGGACTTGAAGGAGGGCAGTCTGATCCAGCCATCGGCCTTAGTTTTCTCCAGAAATTTGTGGTACAGGTTCAGCATGTCTGGACACCAGCTGGCATTGGGGAGGGCATAATTCTTCAAATCTGTCTTCTCCTGACAGAATCTTGAGACCTGGGCAGGAAAAATCAGGGAGACTAGACAGCTTCCTGGGAGGTGGGCTGCTGCTTGGGCTTCGGGACCTGTAGGTAGTGTGCTCCTGGGTTCCTGGGCTCTTCAATCCCTTCTGCCAGTGTTGACTTGAAGGAAATGGCCCTTGGGGACTCCTGTGGGTGACCAGGGAAGGGGACACTAATGTGCAAAGGAAGGGAAGGAAAGGCATGGCGGCTGACAGAGGCATGCTGCTCTGTGGTGGCACATTAAAACTGTCCTCTTTTAAAGCCTGTGAGCTGTTCTTTGAGGCTGAGAACGGCTAGTATTAGCCCCACCTTGCAGATGGGGAAACTGAAGAAACACGGCTAAGGTTGCCAAGCTTGTGAGTGTGCGAGCTGATGGTCAGACTAGAGCTCATCCTGGGACACTGTCTACCCTGGGGGTGTGACCACGGGTGAGGACCACTGTTATCACCCCCTCACTTCAGGGGCTACTCCAGCTCTGTCCATAGCCGTGGGCCTGCCCGGGGAAGGGGGGCTCCTTTGAAACCTGTTTTGGGTGCGGTACCTTCGGTGGGATGAGGAGGGGTCCTCTGTGATGCCGGATGCTCACGCACCAAACGCACCCATGGGCAGCCGGCCGCACGCAGGGTCCTTTGTCTGGGGGTGTCTCAGTTCAGCTGCAACAGTCTGAGTGCCATAGGAGGAAAGTGAGTGGTGGCCACGCAAGATTCAGATCAGGTTGAAAGTAACCTGGTAGTCTTAGCTGTGGATCTGGGCTACTTGGTTTCCTTTGCCAAATCAAATAGCTCCCAACAAACTGCTCACCTGCCCCGGCCACAATCTGGGAAGAGGAGATTTGGGGTGCTCCCTACACCCGTGGCCCCCAGGAGAAGGGCTGCCCATCTGGCTGAGTGGGGCACTCACTCACCAGGGAGTCCATGGAGGATCCGAATGCTGAGGCAGGGCTGAACGTGGGCAGGATGTAGGGGCCGCCAGGAAGGGCTCCGTGGTGGCTAGGTCTTGCTGCCACCTGGAGGCCTCTTCTCATCATGGCTGAGCGCTGGGATCGGGTCGGCAGGGCTGCGGCAGCGAGGCGAGTGGTGCACTTTTTCGGCTGCACCTTGGGGCTGTCGGGGCCGCCACCTCTGAGAGAGGCCTCACTCTTTGTCACAAAGCTTTCATTAGCAAGCTGCCACCGCAAATGATTAGGCAAGGCTGGGCTGGTTTGATACAACACCCATAGATGCTTGGGGACTTTACCTGGTCCAGCGTCACCCCCCAACCCCAGCACTTGGGGAGGGGCAGATGCTGCTTGGGCATGAATGCATAGCAGGATTGGCCTGAGTTCAGAAAGAAATATTTATTAAAGGAGCAAAAAAGTACATAATGAAATCGTATAGCGTATATGAAACTTTGGAGAGTTGCCCCGGAGTTTTTCTGGGGAGAACTCAGGAATATTCCCAGAAAGATAAGGGAGGTCTAATCCTTGATTGGAGGCTACTTGTGGAGTGTCTGCGTGTGTTGGTGGAGTGTTTGTGGCAGGTGCTCTGCAGCAAGACTCTGAAACCTCTGGTATGATCCTGGGACTCAGAAAACCAACTCGCAGCCCTCAGCCACTCCCTTCTTCTATCTCATACAGAGGGCAGCCCAGGCAAGCCTCCCCCTGCTGGTCCCTGGTGAGGACAGGGTGGGGAGGCGTGGGGTGGGGTGGGGGGAGGCCTTGGAAGGGGAGGCCAGAAAATCATTCAGGGAGGGAGCAGCTTAGCAAGGGCATTCTGTGCTTTGGGAACCCCAGGGAGCGGGTGATGGCAGCAGACAATGCTGGGAGTGAGGCAGGGAGCGGGGCAGAGGAGGCTTTGCTGATGACGAGCCTGGAAAAGAGCCAGCTTTGAGTGGGGGAGTGGGGAGGAGTGTTCAGTGAGCATCTGCAAGGGTGCGTGGTATTTCTTGTACTGAATTAAAACTGCCAGTTTTCAACGAAAAGTCCCAGATTTTAATGCACTAGAATAAAGTGTGTTCTAAAGGTCAGAACTATGCAAAGATGAAATTATAATGATGATGATGATGAGTTTGGTAGGTTCTGAAAGATCTTACTGATTTAATATGGAAATTTAAAGACTTTATCCCACCTCCTGTAGTTAGCTGTCCTAGAAGACTAGGATATAAATATTTTCCTCATCTCTTGTCAAGGTTTGAAGGAAACTTCTTCAAGGACCGGGGGAACCCAGTTTTTTGGTTGATTTAGTCTCTGGGTCTAATCATAAATATTTGAGTTAGTTGTCAACATTTAAAAATAGGGAGTTGGGACTTCCCTAGTGGTCCAGTGGTTAAGAATCCACCTTCCAATGAGGGAGACGTGGGTTCCGTCCCTGGTCGGGGAACTAAGATCCCCCATGCCATGGGGCAACTAAGCCCGTGCGCTGCAACTAGAGAGAAGCCCTCGCACCACAACTAGAGAGGAGCCTGTGTGCCACAACAAAAGATCCCACATGCCGCAACTGAGACCCAAAGCAGCCAAAAATAAATAAAATAAAATAAAATAAAACAGGGAGTTTCATACAAAGCAGAAGGCCAAGGACCTCCAGATAAGTGGAAAAATCTGGCAACAGGATCTTCATTCCTTTGCAGTAGCCGTGGAGAGGATGAGGATGCCCAGTGTCCTCTGGCTTGCCCCACCCTCCCCTGATACTGAGCATTCCTTCATTCCCTCTGCCAGCCTCTATGTGTGATACTTGATTTGGGAGATGGGACTCGAGGAGGAGACAGGAGTGAAAAGGGGAATCTTAGAAAGGGTAGACGGACTGAAGGGGAGGCTGAGGAAGAGGGAGTAGGGAGAAGGAGAGGGATCCACAGGGGGCCCCGGAGGCTGGAAGCTGATCCCAGGAAGGTTGTCCCAGGAGGAGGCAGGGTCTGTCATCCCAAGAAGAATCAGTAGCTGAACCTGGGAAAGGAAATCCTTGTTTCATTGCCTGAGTTCATTGTCTGCTTCCTGACACAGAGCTCCTAAATCCCTTGAAGTTTCCTGGGTGACAGGAGTATCTTCTGTTCCAATGAGGTGACTCTGAGTGGACTCCAGATAGCCTCAGGAGTGGGGGTGGTCACCAGAAAGACCAAGCCATGATTAGAAGCTTGGGATTTTCAATCTCACCTCCCATCCTTCAGGAAGGGGAGGGGGTTGGAGACTGACTTAATGATCCATCATCCCAACGTGATGAAGCCTCCATAAAAATCCCAAAATTTAAAAAAATTCCGGGTTGGCACACCCCACCTCCATGGGGACAGAAATTCCTGCACTCAGGATCCTCCCAGACCTTGCCCTATGTATCTCTTCATCTGACTGTTCATGTGTATCTTTTATCATACCCTTCATTAAATCGTAAGCTGGTAAACGTAAGTAAGTGTTTCTCTGAGTTTGGTGAACTGTTCTAGCCAACAATCAAATCCAAGGAGAGGAGGGCTCATGGAACCTCTGATTTGTAGCCAAGTCAGACAGAAGTTGTGGGTACCTCGGTGACCTATTACTTGCGACTGGCATTTGAAGTGGGGCACAGTCTCGTGGGACTGAGCCTTTAACCAGTGGGGTCTGCACTAACTTTGGTTAGTGTCAGAATTGAATTATAGGGCATCCAACTGGTGTTGCAGAGAATTGCTTGGTGTGGAGGAAAACCCCACACATCTGACATCAGAGGTGTGTGTGAAAGTAAAGGGGAAACACAGGAAGCTTTTCCTGTAGGCACCCTCCTACGTTACTAGTTGTTTTGCAATTTTTGGTTAAGTCAACTTTCAAATCCTTACATCATCATGATTATAAAAATTTTGTTCTCAGCCTTGCCATATGCTATAGTTAGTTTTTATTTCTTGTATAACGTTTATTTTCCTTGAATTGATAATATCTAAGGTTCAACTGGATGCTGTGGTCCAGGAGAATACAGGGAAATTAAAGGACAGTGGTTGAGATGACCAGCCTCCATTTCCCAGCTGGGAGGGGGGATGAGTGAAAATAAAAGAAATGAAGATCTGGCGATGTCTGTGATATTTAAGAGCAGGAATAATGGTATCAAGGGTATGACAGATGGAAGGTAATTAGAGAGAAAGATATCTGAGGAGAACGTCTATGGGGATGGCAAAATCGTATGTGGGGTGCTGAATTCTGGTGGCTGGCATAAGATGGAGGAAGTTGGTTGTCCAAGGCCATCTAGGAAGAGAAAGATTAGGATTGTGAAGAAAGCGCTCTTTTCCCACTTTTGGACTCCTTTCCCACCATTTCACACATCTTGTGGATTCTTTCTGCAACACAGAGCTCTTCCGACACCTGGGCTGGGAATTCACCTACCCGGGGAGGTGGAAAGGTGCTTGGCTAGTGTTTCGAACATGGTCTTTGGCCACAGCCCTTCTCCTTCTGTGTGAACTCAGCTCAGAGAGAACAAAGAACACTCGGCTCAGAGAAAAAGCTTCTCCCCAGACCTGGATAAGCAATTAGAAAACAGGGAAGTCAGTGAAGGTTCAGCGTAATTCAGAACTCCTGTTGGATTCTCATTTAGCTTGTTGTCTGCCTGGTGCATTTCCTGTTTGGGACCTTGTGGGGGAATGTTGAGTTTGGGGCTTCTCTGGCTGAGACATGACAAATCCCCAGAAGCACATCCTGGGCCTGACCTGGCAGGTGGTGCCCAGAAGAACCAGCAGTGGTGTGCTGGTAAGTGGTAAGGGATTAACAGCTCCTGGTGGGGCGGAGAACTCTAACTGGTAGCATTTGCCAGCTTTTGTTGTGTAAATATTCCCATGATGGCTGATTTCAGGCTACCAATATGATGCCACTGACCCTGACCATGAAGCTGGGAAGAGGTGTGCTCAACCAGCTCTTGCAAGCTGGTAGGCACTGGCTCCGGCACACCACTGAACTGGAAAGTTCTTTGGCTTGGAGCGAAGCAACACGGGTAACCAAGGCCGTGGTAGGTTTGGCAGGTCACTTCTTGGTCCCGGGTCCTCCCAAATGTAAACTCGTGCCCTCTTCTCTCTTTTCAAGTTCCCTTCCCTCACAAGACTGACTATGCAATAGCACTTAGTCTCCCCAGCCTTCCCTCCTCCCTTGCTGCCTGCCAAACAAGTTCATAGGACATTTTTTTGTTTAAAGATTTTTGTGTTGTTTCAAGACATTTAAAGAGGAAAATTATAACATTTCCAGAAATCTTACAAAGTCCTCCTCATCTTGGGGGGAGCTGGAAGCCTTCTCAGATCATTCTGGACATGCGGTGGATCTCCCATGATGGCCAGCAGGGCTGGCTGGCTCCCTGCTGTGATGGGGGATTCCCAGCACTTTGGAGGGGTTCTGTCTGGGATGATACCCATCTGGCCTTTCTGGATGAGGAAGGAGCTTCCCTGGTAGCCTTCCTAGACACCATTGCTATTTAGTGCACTGTGAACTGAAATCCCTCCTGAAGACTCGGCCCTATAGGCTCACACAGGGCAATTTCTGGAGGGCTCCCCGACTGCCCATCTCCCTATCAGTTCATGGCTGATCTCCAGACTCCCGCCCAGGCTGGTCTTGCCCTCAGGGACACTTGGTTTCTTGACCTTCTTATGAGCTAAGCGTCAGGGGGCAGGCTGGACATGAGCCGCTGTGCACTCAGAGAGCGATGGGCAAACTTGAGGGCCCCAAGAGGGGGCTGTGCTGGCCATGTTCCATTCAGGAGTTGCCACCATAGAATCCAGGCCCAGTTGCCAGCTCTTCTCATTTTCCCAAAAAAGCCAGCACAAATCCAGATTTTTATGTGAAAATTTCTAACTTTTAAATGTTGCAACTAATGTATAAAAATTTTGCATGAGCCAGACTCTGATTGGATCTTGTCTTGCACGCAGCTGATCATGTCCCCTGGTTCTAAGCTCATTCTTGGGCCTTTCTCACATCGCTCTTCCAGAAGTTTCTTGCTTGTCTGCCCCAGATCTGTCCTCTCTGAGTCCTCCTAGGTCAGCTGTCTTTTCCTGGTTCCCTCTGGGAGGGACTTTCCTGAGATTCATTTTATACTCTGGTGCCCACAGTGGGCCCTTTGGAAAGGAAAATATGTTGGAACTGATTAATCATTTGGCTCTACGGTGCTTCAGGGTTTTTGCTTTATCCAGTTTCTAAGCTTCTTGGTCTTTGCTGTGGGTGGGAAGTGCTAATGGGAGGCTCGGCCTCAGGCTGGTCAAGACAGGAGAAAAAGCTGTCTTCACCGAACCTGGGACACCGGGTGGAGTTAAAAGCAGTTGTTGCTAAGTACTCTGCCCAGAGGGGCTCTGGGTGGGCTGCTGGGATGCTCACCTGGGAGAAGAATAACACAGGGAAGGCAGGGCTGTGGCAGAAGACCCCATGCCCAGGGGAGCTGGGGAGCTGATGGGCAGCTGCTGGCTCCAAGTGCTGCTGCCTGGTGTGGTCACTGGGCTGAAGGAGGGGGCCCCCCGGCAGAGTACAGGGTCAGGGAACTAGGCCAACCGAGGGAAGCCTGAGCTCCTCCCAGAAACGTGAGAGCTTGCCCAACTGCTCAGCTGGAACTGATTTCCTATTTGTGAAATGCTAAGAGGCAGAGAGAGGCAGGATCTCTAAGCTCAGAAAGTGACAAATCCTGAAGGGGTGTGTGTGTGTGTGTGTGTGTGTGTGTGCACGCACATGTGTGCTCATAGGCCTGGCCAGGCCTGCACCTGAAATTCCCCCTTTCTCATACCCAATCACTTGAGAGGTGGTACCTTCAAAACCAATGGGACAGTCACATCTGTTTTCCAAGCGTGGGGTACAAAGTAAGGTCACATTCATTTTATTTATTTATTTATTTAACATTTATTTATTTATTTGGCTGCGCCAGGTCTTAGTTGCAGCCCGCGAGATCTTCGTTGCCACGTGCGGGACCTTTAGTTGTGGCATGTGAACTCTTAGTTGTGGCGTGCAGGATCTAGTTTTCTGACCAGGGATCGAACCTGGGTCCCCTGCATTGGGAGCACAGAGTCTTAACCTCCTTGTGGCACAGTGGTTAAGAATCCGCCTGCCGATGCAGGGGACACGGGTTCGAGCCCTGGTCTGGGAAGATCCCACATGCCACGGAGCAACTAAGCCTGTGCGCCACAACTACTGAGCCTGCGCTCTAGAGCCCGCGAGCCACAACTACTGAGCCTGTGTCCCACAGCTACTGAAGCCCACCTGCCTAGACCCATGCTCTGCAACCAGAGAAGCCACAGCAATGAGAGGCTCGCGCACTGCAACCAAGCTGCTCGACGCAGCTAGAAAAAGCCTGAGCACAGCAACGAAGACCCAACACAGCCAATAAATAAATAAAATCATAGTTTTGCTTTTACTAGAAACACCTTATCATAATAGTATTTTTTTTTTTTTTTTGCGGTACGC